AGTCCCTACCTGGTAACCTCCAGGGTAGGGAAGGTTCTGGTAAGGTCGGGCAACGGAGAGTCGTGGGAGCTGCTAGGGGATTAGTAGGGAGGAAAAGGGGATGCTCCCGGTCATTGCGCGGACGGATTGTTGATCGTTGATCGTGGACTGATGACAGAGGGACAGTTGACCCCAGTCCATCCGGGGCAGGTCGGGCGGCATAGGTATGGGTTCCAGTGGAAGACAGCAGGGGTTCGTCCCAGAGAGGGGGGTGGGACTCCCCCTAGAGCCAAAAGGGGACGCCAACCCAGGCCTTTAATGGACCCCCCCCCCCCCCCCCCCTGAGACTCCTCAGATCTCAGTCTCATCAAGTCTCATCAAGTCTCATCAAGTCTCATCAAGTCTCATCAAGTCTCATCAAGTCTCATCAAGTCTCATCAAGTCTCATCAAGTCTCATCAAGTCTCATCAAGTCTCATCAAGTTTCATCAACCAAACTATCGCCTCGTTCAGGTAAATGTTTAAGCTAGGATATCTTGCAAGACTCACCTGGTCCTTTGTTATCTCGAACTATTGCCCGAAAACGCCTATCTTCCATAAGCGAATCCCCACATCTAGGTACTATGCATGTACTATTGTGCCATACCCTCGCGCCGACGCACAACCCCGTTGCCGAAGAAGAAGGGAGCCAGGGGTACGTGGTTGTGAAAACAGTCCGGCCCGTCAGCGTCCGGATGGTGCCCTTTGACCACCCTAGATTGGCCCATACCCCATCTTTTGTCGGTACCCCACGTTCACCATATCGGGAGTTGGAGGCGCCAGCGCTCAAGCTCTGATAAGCTCAAGCCAAACTCACGTGCACGGCGTGAATATGCCAGATTCGGGAGTTATTGGGAGTCGCTAGTACCCAATGGCCTCTCAACCCGGGCTTGGACGGTGCCAGGACGACACCTTTCCCCTCTTTTCTTCGGCTCCAGTTACCTGCACCGCCTATCTCAAATCTACATACTTGGGTGAACTACGCCCGTGCCTCTCGGCTGCCCCTTTGATGAGAATGCATCCTCGTTTCTCAACTCATGGTACTTAACCCCTACCTTTCCATCTAACTACAATCAAAACATTTTCACTCTATCATTCTCTTTTCCCTTACAACTTGGACGATGAAGCCAATCGACCCCCCGTCTCTCGATGATGAGGCCCAACTCCAAGCTCTGGGCCACAAAGGTGAACTAGAGCGCAACTTCTCCCTCGTATCTATGCTGGGTCTTGCTTTTGCCATTCTGAACTCATGGACTGCCCTGTCCATGTCCATTAGCCTGGCCATCACCAGTGGAGGAACCACGAGTGTCCTCTGGGGGCTGCTCACAGCTGGAATTTGTAACGTGTGCTTGGCCCTGTCCATGGCCGAGTTTCTTTCTGCTTATCCAACGGCTGGTGGACAGTACGTTATGCCCGTCATCATCACAAGTGAAGCCTAACATGAGTCACAGATATCACTGGGTCGCCGTCATTACGCCCAAACCATGGGTGCCTCTTGCCTCCTGGATTACCGGGTGGATCAACGTCGCAGGCTGGATTGCACTGACAACTGCACCCAGCCTTCTTGCCTCCCAATTCATCTCGGGCTTCATCTTCCTCTTCTACCCAGACTTCGTACTGGAGAAATATCACTTTTGGCTCATCTACGTAGCGTTTACTGTCACCGGCTTCATCATCAATGCCTTCCTCAATAGGATTCTCCCCTTCATCAATCGCGGTGCCTTGCTGTGGACCTTGGGCGGCTTTGTCGTGATATCAATCACGGTCCTGGCCTGTGCCTCGCCCGATTATGCATCTGCCGAATTTGTCTTTACCGAGTTCATCAACGTAACTGGCTGGCCTGACGGTGTCGCGTGGCTTCTCGGTCTCCTACAGGGTAAGCCAACGGTTGAACAACTCCACTCGTTGCAACACCCGACTAATTAGGGCACAGGTGCTTATGGCCTCACTGGCTATGATGCTGTCGCTCATATGATCGAGGAGATCCCCGATGCTTCCGTGCAAGGCCCCAAGATCATGGTCTACTCCGTCGTCATTGGAACCGTCACCGGCTTCATCTTCCTCATGGTCTTACTATTTGTGTCCGGTGGTGATATGGAGTTGATCACTTCATCTGGAGCTGGTGTACTCCTCGCCATACTACAAAAGGCCACCAGCAGCCGAGCAGGAGCAGTTTGCCTTGGGCTAATTCCACTGATCTGCTTGATGTTTGGTCAGATTGCCATCATGACCACCAGCTCCCGCATGACTTATGCCTTCGCTCGTGATGGAGGTTTGCCCATGTCGAAGCTGTTCTCCCATGTTCACCATGGCCTGGGTCTGCCTCTGAACGCTCTGATGCTTTCTGCCACTCTTTCCATCTTATTCGGTCTGCTCATTCTCGGGTCCAGTAGCGCTTTCAACGCGCTAGCTTCCGCCGCCGTAGTCGCCCTGGGCGTCAGTTATGCTATCCCGGTTGCCATCCATGTTTGTAGGAGGAGAAAGATGCTCCCTGCAAGAGCGTTTGCGTTGCCCGGTCCGCTCGGATGGATTGCCAACCTGATTGGGGTTGGCTACACAATTGTCACCACAGTCCTGTTCCTATTTCCACCGGCTCTTCCCGTGACTTCGGCCAATATGAGTAAGTCCTTCTTGTTCTTCGACTGTCAAAACTGTCAATCATGTTAACACTTTCAGACTATTGTGTCGTCGCATTTGGTATCATTCTATTCATCAGTACCTTCCAGTGGTTTGTTGACGGACGCAAGAACTACACGGGCCCTCGCAACGATGCTGGTATAGAAATTCTGGAAGCTATGATGACGAACGACGAAGACAAGCCTGGGATGAGATATCCAAATGTTGCGGACGAGAAGTTGGGTTCAGATACGGTGAAATGATTATACAACTCTCTTTCACTCATTTCAGTACATTCTCAAAGTCTTCTCGTAGGCTGCAATACTCTTTTATATATTCTTTCTATTCAGAATCACTCTATATTTTCCCGTTGGTGTGCTCGGCAGCTGTTGCCTCATCCCTGTGTGGGCATATGGCGGTCAACCTTCACCGTGATGCCCGCTCCGGTCATCGCCGCATAGGTCTCCTCTCCGCACTGCTGGTCCACTCCCCCGTCTATCGCGATTCTGTTCTTTCCTCAGTCTCTTGTTCAAGCACGTGCGTAGGCCGCATTCACCTCGCTCTCACCACATTTTCAGGACTTGGCGGGAGCTAGCAACGTGCAGACAAACGGCCTTGCAGTTTACTTCTTGGTCTCAGTCACCTGGCCTTTCTCGACTCTTTTTTTCAACCAACACAAAACAGCGCGCTTCGACTTTTGCTTTCTCCACCTGCACAGAGCAGTGCAATATCATCACTCTCTCACACATCCTTTCAACAGCCACTACATTCTCACCACCATGTGCAAGCACTACCGCCACAACGCGAAAGCTCGCCATGAGCGTGAGCTGTCGGCTGCCAAGTCCAAGCTGTAAGTCGACGCCCTGATCGAAGCGTTGTCTGTGATCGTCACTCATAGCTTTGGTAGTGGTCGGACAGCACCAGTCACCCGTGTGGCTGTCGGCAAGACGGCGGCTGGCAAGAAGTTTCGGTTCCTGCTGCGACATCCCCGTAAGGGCAAGAGCAAGAGTGAGAGCAAAGTCCTCAAACAAGCTCAGCAAGCTGCTGAGATGTCGGAGGACGTTGAAATGTCCGACGACACGGACATGGACGATCTCGCCCGCGCATTTGCGAAGATGGCACTCGGCCAAAATGGTATCGAGGGGCCGGAAAGCAACGACGTGGAGATGGAGATGTTCTCCACTCCCTCCTCCAAAACCATGTTCCTCGCCCCCTCCCATCCCATCATCCTCCATCACACAAACGACTTCTTCCGGAAAGCCGCACCAGAATGGAAGCGCAAAGTCGATCCCCTGGAGCGGGGCACGAGGAACGAGCGGGACGCAAAGCGATTCCGGGGCCCGGAGGCACCCAAGCCAAAGGGCCCGTACAGGGTATTCTATGGCAACATAGCCATACTGAAGATGCCCAACGGGAGTAGCCGGACTCTCCGATGGGATACCAACAGGCAGTCTCGCCTGAGACGTTGAGCAGTTTTCTGGGTGGTGGACCGGGAGGTGGGCTGGGGGATTGCGTGCAGAGAGACGTTGAGGCGGTTGGGGGATGGGATTGAGACGCTCGGTTTGAGACCTTGACTCGCCCCTCGGGGTTTGAGTCTTGGAACTCGCTGGGCGTCTCTCCCTTTTCCACTTCCCCCTCCATGTGGTTTTGGAGCTTTGATTTCTTGCGACTGTTTTGGGATGGGGTCTTTGTACGGTGTTTTGGGCGCAATTTGCTGTCGCGAAGATATGATACCCCCACTATGTAGAATAATTGAAGTCATGATCATTACTTATTATCCACCAGACTATGTCAGATTCACAGTACACAGTCAACTGTAATGAATAGTCAAATTGCTCGCGATCCTCTCCACCACCAGCGTATACTGCAACGCGTCAAGATTGCACAAGACGACACGATATCCTACGCTTGAGTCCTGTGGTTGTCCTCGCTCGTGGTGACCAAGCAACTCTTTCCAGTTGGCGCGATCATGCCAGTCGGATGGACTGATATCTGATCGCAATTGCGTTGCCGTTTTCGTTGCTGCCTCACTAGGACTTATCATGACTGCCATGAGAAGAGATGGCACAACAAGTCGCTAGCGCCGTCCCACTCATCCCGGCTCCCATCGACATTTACTTCCTCTCTCCGTATTGTCACTCTGTAGTCATCAATTGGCAGCTTTGGTTATCACCGATATATCATCACTAATCAACATCAAGAATGGAAGTCGGCCAGTATCCTGCGGCTCCACCACCTGGATCCTCAGGCTTAGCCGCTCACCCACCAGCATCAACTTCTTCAGCAGCTGCTCCAGCCATAAGAGCTCCAATTCCATCTTCGCTGAGTTCAGTGCCAACAGTCGTGGATGCGGATGTCGAATCCAACGCGACCACTATGCCACCCCGCCGAGGTGCTGCTTTTATTCCAGGTTTCCGCTCCAGACCTCCCATTCGCACCTTCATCCGTGAGAACTGGCTCGACATCCTCACGCCAATATTGTGTGCCCTGGCATCTCTGCTCATCTACCTTCTTGTCCCGCCGATCCTCCCCCGCTACTTTCCTCTCTACCCGGGCATCGAGACGAGTGCTTGGGGCCGGCGGTATGGTCAGCCTCTGAGACGGGAGTACATCACCACATTGACAAGTGCTCTCGTGAGCTATCTGATTCCGGCGGCGATCATGGGAGCGATTGCGCTTTGGAGTACGCGGGACTTTCGTGATGGAAATGCTGCGGTACATTATCAGACCTTCTGCTACAGCCGCAGCCCCCTTTACCGCAACACTTCAGAATCCCTACTAATAACTGCCAGCTCATTGGACTAGGCTACGCTCTCGCGACCGCCGCACTCTTCACCTCTATAATCAAAGTCTTTATCGGCGGCCTACGTCCCCACTTCCTCAACGTCTGCCGTCCGTCTATACCTGGTGAACTGACGTTCTACCAAGCCAGCCGGCTGTGCGGGGACTCGCGTGCAATGAGAGAAGCTCAGATGAGCTTTCCCTCTGGACACGCGGTTGCTGCTTTCGCTGGCTTTGGCTTCCTTGCTTTGTACATCAACGCCAAGTTCAAGGTGTTTGGTCACGGACGCAGAAGTGGTCTGCGTGACAATGCTGCGGCGGCGGACACAATTCTAGATAGAAACATTACTCCGACAGCACCAGGTACTGGACCTGGTGCTCCTGCGGCCGTTAAAGAGAAACGTAGTACGGCCGCCGCCGCCGCCGCCGCCGCCGCGATTCCAGATACCAGCATTTCAGACTCAACAGTATCCAAGACCGGCCGGATACAGCACTGGAAACTCATCCTCTTCTCTTTGCCTTGGTTGATAGCCACAGTACTAGCTCTCAGCAAGGTCAGGGATGGATAGCATCATCCCATTGATGTCATTGTGGGGGCGCTGATCGGAACGGCTTTCGCGCACATGGCGTATCGCATGGTGTATAGGAGTGTGTACGATGAGAGAAGCAATCACATCCCTCAGGAATCCCACGAAGGCGCTTTCAAGAGGTGAGTAGGAGAGGGAAGTGGAAGAATTCTGCTTTAGTTGGGAGTGAAGTCAAATTGGGCGTGTTTTTTAGTAGAGGTTTTCGTATTTCTTTTTCCTGCTGGTTGGTTCAGTGTAGATTAGTGCAGATGGTGGAGGTTGTCGCTTCGGAAGTTGGACTCATTTTCCTAGTCTCGGATCATGTGACTTGGTGCCTATGAAAGCATGATCAAATAATTGGAATGCTAGTATCCTCACACAGCCTTCTTTGATATGATCTCAATATGTATGAGAGGAGTGAGAGCGACGAGAACAAGTAACTCCAAGCTCAATGCTACAAGAGAATCATACACTTGCCAAAACAACAACGCCCGTCTCCATTTCATTTGCTTTGCTCTCCTCATCCCCTGTGCGACACCCTCGATCCTTAAAACCCCCCGAGCCCTTCCACCACCGCTGGGCCCCGTCTCCCCCAATGGCCGCCCGCCCTCTCTCTCGTCTCCTCTTCACGACCAGCGTGTCCCAATAGATCCTCTGCCTTGACCACTTTGCCCAGACCAATCGAAAGCTGCATATCCTCGTCCTCATCGTCGAGTCGGTGATAACTCCAATCGTAGTGTACATCTGCGATACAATGGGGCTCACTGGGTGCACCAATCCGGCACTTGACCTCGCGGAGTTCGACGGCGATGACGGATTGAGGTTGCGGTTTTTCGTCACAGTTGGGGGTCGCAGGGGGAGTTGGCATGTTTAGATTAGATGCGGAGTCGACTCTTCGGACGGCCATGCGGTGCTGTGACTCAGTCGATGGATTCTGTAGTGCTTGCACACCCGTGACCAAGTAAACTGGCTTGTTCTGGTAGGCCATTTTGCGGAGGAAAGATCTTGTCGTGCTGTCTTGCCGGAGTTTGTTGAAGACATCGATTGGCTTGAGCATGTGGTACTGTAATCCGGGGTATTCGCTCGCGTCATCGTGGACTGTTTGCGTCGTTGGGATCTCTTGTGATGGCTGTAGAGAGGCCGAGTCCGTGCTAAGAGGGTCGCTGATGAGTTGGCCAAGCTTGATGGTCGCGGCGGGGAGCGCAGCCGGAAGGTCAAGGAATCGAGACATGATGGAGATGTTGAGCAGGAGAATTGCGATCAGAATGAGACTGCGGGCAAATTCGAACCTTGAGTTTGATGTTTCACGGCAATGTGTTGGTATGTATGTCTGCTAATGTCGCTCACTTCACTGTGACCTGCCCCGTGGCACGCCAGGCATTATATACTCATCTCGGCCAGATCAGCTCATCCCCAAGTGGGCTCCGCATTGCTCCTTTTGTTTCCTGAGGCCTTTGCCTTGATATGACTACAGATTGTCGTAAGTCGGCTGGGTCTGATGTGACAGACTTTGGTTGTCTTGAGGCGTGTGATTGGCTGTTCAGCCACATGATGGCTCGATGGACGAGAATATTGCGCTGTATTCGTCATACCGAGCCCGGCTTGACCCGCAAAACGACTCCGCTCAATTGGTGGAAGCCAGGGAATGATGCTGGAGGGGGCAGTTTGATGGGGAATTCGATGCACGGTCGGATGGACATCGGCTGACATGTCGATGTTGGGTCTCACAGCCGAGGATAGCCATCAGACGTCGGCTGCAAAGGTTCACGTTGTTCATGTCGAGGGTGTGCTATCCCATGACGGCGACATCTTTTTCCCTTTGAAACTCCGGTCTTTTCCAGGTCGATGGCCCCAGATCTCCTCAGTCACCGTTGTCACGTTTCAATCGGACACGTGATGGAGATTCTGGTCACGTGATGGGCACAATGGACACGTGACGTGTGCAATCACACAAACCTACGGGATGGCGTTGAAGTAAGCGTAACTGGCACGCGCAGTGCAATGCTTTGAACACAGCTTGTCCTTTAGCTGTGAGCAACAGGACAGGATATGGTGGATGCTTGGGCTAAAACAAGATGTCGTGTGGCGCCGGTGGCTGTAACAGACCGTAACTTGGCCAAAAGCACATTCCGCCGACGGCCACAAGAGTTTCCATCCTTGTCTGAGATCTACGACTCGCTGCGATGCGTTGCGCTTGCCGCCATGCATGGACTGTTTGCACGGGAACATGGCCTTCCTAGCCAGAATCGAGGAATCAAGCAAGGAATCAAGATGAAGCCATTACCTACACGGTAGACTCGAGGGCCATGATGAATCGCTGCGTTCGGCAGCGCGCGGAAAAGTCGCACTGCCACAGTGGGCTGGCTGGCTGGCTGGCTGAGCGTGAAGATGACATGTACTTCACACGGACACCGATACCGACAACATGCACACCGAAGCCGTTGCTGACATGGCGGATACAACGGCCAAAGAGGATGCGCGCCGCCCGAATGCCCTCGCAGACATACACGACGCCTCCATAGCTGACGGTGAGTTAACACAGTCCGAAGATGAAACAGCAGAGGAACTGCATCTGGAACTGGAGAGTGTTCAGTCAGCCATTGGTGTCAGCATCGGCGAGCAACAGACACGTCTGATCTCATCCAAGACGCCGGCTGCGGAAAAGGCCGCTGCCTTGGATGAAACACATGCTGGCCGGCTCTTTGAGGCACCCGACGCGACAGCGAGACACAGCAGCCCGTCTATACCGCCCGAGACGCACATCGCCACCACGGGAAATGCTCCACAACATGCCGCGACAAGGAGGAGCCGCTCTCACGACAAAAACAATGCCGACTCCACGCGTGACACAAAGACGCGAGAGCGCCTGCCCTCGCCGTGGCGCGCTGGCCCCAGGACATTCAGCGAGAAAGTCAGCGACCACCGAGCAGTGCTGAAGCAACATCTCCAGGGCGGGCGGCGACGCGCCTCCTCAGGCGGCTCCATGGCAGAAATGATGCGCAAGTACATGCCTAGCCTTCCGTCCTCCATCTCCAAATCCTACAAAGACCTACACTTTTCTATGCCCAGCTTCTCCACACAGTCGCTTGAGCCTGAGCAAGGCCGGCCAGCATCCAGCGCGGCGCAGCCACGGAGACGCGATACCTTTGCAAACGGATCGTCATTGAGCAGTATTCCCCAGCATGATGGGGGCAGCCGCGATTCTCTCTCACACCGCAACCGTGGAACCAGCGGTGGCGTGAGCCCCCAGCAACCCATGACTGCACCTCTCCCGCAGCGCGAGCTGAGCGATGATAGCACCACCCCGACCGTGGTCATCGCCCCATCTGACGACCCCCGCGTACGCCCGCCTATGCTCCGTCGATCGAATTCTGAAGGCTCGTTGATGGTATACCGGACGAGATCGCTGGCCTCGTCCTTGGGTGACGACAGTCGTTTTGAGAGTGTCAATGCGCAGGTGAATAGTCGGATGAAGGCAATCAAAGACAGCTGGCACGATTCAAACTTCAAGTTGCCGAGCCCATCGTTTCCCAACTTCAACTTTGGGTCTAGAGAAGACTTGTTCAAGGTTCGCAACGGCAGTGTGACTCCAAGATCAAAACATTCCGAAGACTGCGCTACACATCGCTCACGGCTTCTCTCCAGCCTTCCAGCATCGTCGGCGCCCAGTCGGGCCAACTCAGCTAGAAGGAGGCTGCCTCCCCTGAACGCTGGCGTCCCCGAGGCGGAAACCCATCCCTTCTTTGCCAAAGCGCTACAGGAATTGGAAGGGGATGTCGTCATCCTCGGTGGCTATCGAGGTTCAATACTGCGGTCCGCAGAACCCCCCAATCGTCAACTATGGGTTCCCCTCAAAGTCGGCTTGAATCTGCGAAAAGTGGATCTGGAAGTGCCCTTGGACCCCGAGGCTGATGAGCGGATGGAGAAGACAATTTATCCTAGCGGCATGCTCACCCATATTGGACCGGTAGATATATCGAGACGTCTGATCAAACGCCTAAAGGCATGCGACAATGCGAAAAGTAACAAACTCAGGGTCCACAACTATGGCTACGACTGGCGGCTGTCGCCCCATTTCCTTAGCCGTCGCATGATCAAGTTTCTTGAGTCACTTCCTTGCAATCAGCCAGGTGTACCTCCCGAGAAGCGCGGTGCTTGGGTGATAGCACACTCACTAGGTGGTATGATTACACGCCATGCCATCAACCAGCGGCCAGATCTGGTAGCCGGTGTTTTGTACGCTGGAGTGCCGCAGCATTGCATTAACATCTTGGGTCCTTTCCATAAAGGAGACGATGTCATGCTGTCTTCTCGTGTGCTCACTGCACAGGTGAATTTCAGCATCCGAACTTCCTTCGCGCTTCTTCCTCTTGACGGCAAATGCTTCTTCAATAAACAGACCAAGGAGGAATACCCAGTCGACTTCTTCGACGTCAACACATGGAAGGAACACCGCCTGTCACCCTGCATCGCCGCTCCTCTGCCGCGCCCTAATCAACACAAGGAAAGTTTCAGCGTCAGCGGCCTTATGAATGCCATGTCGCAAGCTCTCCCCATCAAACCCCGCAAAGGCAGCTTCAGCCTCGCCAAGAGCTTCTCCATGAACAGCAATGTCTCGGCAGGCCCGTCTCCCACCAACAGCACACATTCTGTCGCCGACACCGCCCGCAACGCCATTGGCAAAGTCAGTGAATCCTCTGCGGGCATGGAGCCCCATTTATCCCAAGGCCAAACCCAAACAGAAACATCCACGGAACAAAATCCCGCAACTCATGTGACGATACCCTACGACAAAGCCGTCGAGTATCTTACGCGCGTACTCTCTGAGACCAAGAGGTTCAAAGAAGAACTCGAACATAGACCTGAGCATACGGCATCGAACGCCTATCCACCCATTGCACTCATCTATGGCAAGTCCATACCGACTGTGTATGGGGCCAAAGTTGAGTCGAAAGAGGTGATCAAGCGTGCAGACGTCTACGACGAACTTGCGTTTGCAAGCGGCGACGGCGTTGTGCTTGCACGGGCTTCGATGGTGCCGGAGGGCTATAGTGTGGTGAGGGGTGGAGTGGTGGCTAGTGAACGTGGCCACATTACGCTTTTGGGTGATCTTGAAGCCGTAGGGCGATGTTTGTGCGGTATCATCAAAGCGCGGAAAGCTGGTGTTGGGTTGGGGAATGTGACGAAGAAGGAGAGTGAAGGAAGCCAGGTTGCACAGGGGCGGCAGCTGGGATTGGGGCTGGATGCCGATCTGAATGGTGGGAGGTGTGCGGTAGTGGTGTAGAGGATCAGTATCACGTGTGACCTATAGTAGACGAATGGACGAATTGGAGACTGCATTGGTCGGCCTTGTATCATTTGTCCTACCAGTCCGACACACTGGACCACTGACAAAGGCCAAGATTCCTACTTGTTCGAAGCGTGCATTGGTTTGGTTGTCCTTTTGAAGAATACGCCAGGAAATTTACCACATGACTTGTTGCATGAGCAGATGCAAAGTAGAGTAATAACGGCACAGCATCGACTAGAGTATTCTGTCCCAACTCGCTATGACGTAATCGAGCTGAACATTCCCCCCCAAAGAGCCACCCTCTTCTTCAAACATCCAATTACCTACCTCCCCCGATATCTCTCATGATTACAGCCCCTCCTCTCCTGCGCCAACCCGTCGCTCACTCGCACAAGCACAAGGCAAGAACAAACACTGCCGATCCCGCAGGGTGGGGGCGGAAACAAAAATAAGTTCAGCGCCCGGGGTTGGGGTGGGGTGTAGGTAAGCTCAATATCGCACTGCTTTGCGTGGGAGCCACTGGTTCGTCTGGTGCTGGTAACAAGGCAGAGGTGCCAAGACGGGGGGCGGGTATCGCGCGAGGCAAGTGGGATTAGGACGGGTTTGGTGGTCGCGAATTAGCAGGGAAGAAGGGAAGTTTGCCAAGGAGGCTGACTTTGGAGGTCCTCATATCTGTATTTTGGTGTCAGCGTCTGGTCTGACTTTAATATGTGCAGCTGAGGGTGGATGGGGTCTTGGGTGGGTGGTTGAGCATCTTGCTGGCTTGGTTGTGCATGTGGTAGGCAGGGTTGAGAGGGGGCCAGAAGGATGGGAATGGGAGAGTTTAAATGGAGTGCTGCTGGAGGGGTTTTTTGGGGGGCGTGCATGGAAGATTGCTTGATCTTTCTGTCGCTGTGTTCACACTTGGATGAGTTCTCTGAGATATATTTGTTTCAGCCCGCAGCCTGCCTACGTAACTGATAACAGAGACGACGTCTTCTTCGACCTCGAGATCTCCACCCAGCCCCCTTTCAAGGGCTGCCAGACAGACAGAAACCTTTTGTGCTCTTTCTAAAACGCCTTGCAGTATACCCCTTCGACGTTGTATGCAGCAAGCACACACAATGGCGGACTCACAGAGTGAGACGCTCTTCAGCCAGTCCGAGAAATCCTCGCAGCGATCATCATCGCGCTCGTACAAGTCGCTACCATCACTGAGGCTTTACAAGAGACAAATTCTGTTGACATCCTTACTGGTCGTGCTTCCCATGACTGTCTTCACCATTGTCATACTGGCACTTGTATTCAGCACAACGGTCAGGAATCTGTCCTGTCACCACGAGGCTATATGTCCGGCCCCGCCTCTAATCAACATCACCAGCTCTTCCTATTACTATGTCGACTACCCTGCAACACGCCTGGTGTTCATCTCGTCCTGGTCCTCGACAATCAGCTTTGCGCTTGTTAGCGCCATCATGGTCATGTTTGCGTATCGGGGTGCCGCACAACTGATGGCGGCTTCGTCGTCGGCGAATCCTGATAACAATCTCCCTAGCCCCTATCAGATGAGCTTGCTGATGAGAATTCTGAATGTCGATTACCTGTCGCTCTGGACTTATGCCCGTGATGGTATGAGACACAAAACGCGCCGCAAGCAGACGCCAGGCTCTCTCGAACGAGCAAAGATACTCAGCTCGGCGGCAATTGTCCTCGTCTTGTCTCTAATCACGAGGTAAGTACGCACGTCATTTCGCACTGCTTTTGTCCTTTGTTAGCTCAAGATGAGAGACTGACATCAACTGCCAGTGTCCTCATACAAGCTGCCGATAGTTACCTGCACATATCAACCGTCTCCGTTGAGATGACGCAGATATTTCCAGATCCTCCCAATGCATTGCAGAACAGTCGAAGGATGGGCGAGTGGTGCCTCGACAGCAGACCTACGTTTGGCACACCGGAGAATATCAATTTCTGGGGATGCTCCTCTTACGTCGATCCGGAGGTACAGTTCTTCGTCAAGCGCAATCTCTCTACATTTTGGCAGTGGAAGAGTATACCAGCAAAGGACTACCTGCTAAATTATACAGACGAGAACAAGTCTCAGTATGCCATCCTCGGACCACTCAAGACTCCTTCAAACATCGATTACACAGCGTCCAGTTTTGCCGTGTCGGCGTCATGTCAGCCTGTTCCTGCGTTGGCCTGCGATATCGCTGTGGACGTGCCAATGTCATTGACGCGCCAAGGCATCTCCTTCCATTGCCTAAAAAGTCGGGGTTCACCAATAGACTTCCAGGGTAACATTTCACACTCGGTCGCTGCAACGAATGCGATCAATTTCCACAAGTACATGATGGAGAATGAGGCTTTCATGTCAGATGAAATTAACATGAAAACCAACACTCTCGAAGAAATAGCACCGACTGTAACTGATGAGGAGGCAAAGGCCATGTGGTCGAATCCTTGGCAATGGGTCGGCCAGCTCGACGTCATTGGACGCGTGAGAGACTTTCCCGATTTGCCAAATAAGACGACGTGGAGGACTGACTGGTGGGACAAGATGGTGCTACATTGTAACTCGACCGGTAAGCCTTCATGTGCGCACGACAGACGTCTGTGTCCTGCACGACCCCTGGCTAACTTGATGTGTTTCAGTGTACGATGTAAACTACACCCTTGTGGGTGGGGTTGTCACAGGTATGAACAAAACGGTCAGCAATTCGACCGTCGCTGGCAATGCGATATTTCCGTCGCTGTACACGAGCGGGTATTACAACGACGTCTTGAAAGCAATACCGCCTCTTACCTTTTCCGCCACCACATGGGACGAGTTTAAAACGATTTACGAGATCGAAAGTAGTCGTTTGGTCGTAATGGCTTTGGCACCCAATACAGTGGCGGAGACGAGTCCGCTGTCACAGCGCCGAAGCAATCGTATCATTAGCCAAATTTCTGCTGCAGCCTTGTGGTCGCTGGTATTGGCAAATATGGCGTTTGCCCTGTTAGCAACTGGTGTCGCAATCATGGCATGGCGAGCAAGTTCAGACGAGGTCTATCAAGTCCAGGCTCGATTTGGGATTCCCGGACTAGCTGCGGCGCTCTTCGATCAGGAGGCCAGTAAGCAGTGCATCTCCTCCGCGAGAGAGCTGTTTCGAGAGAACACTCACGGGCCAGCCCCGGAGGTCGCTGTGGGAGTACGAAGAACGCAAACCGAGGGGATGACCTGGACGCTGCGGACTGTAGGGTCTCAAGAGTTCCAAGACGTTGAAAGGCCGTGCTCAAACATGGGGGATGTTGCAGTTCAAGATGCCAAGGGAATCGATGAGCGGGGCAACATGAAGACTACTACTCATGAGCCATTGCTGTCACAGCTTCCCTCTGGCTCATCGACCGTCACCTGCAACGATGATCGAGGACTGGGGACCGACTTTGAACGTTTGGATGTTGATATCGGTCCTGCTAACCTCTGGTTTGAAGATAGGCAAGGTTCCTTTGGCGGGGAGAGATGACGATCCAGCGCATTGCAGTTAGACTCGCTAGATGACGGCCGAAAGAGTAACGAAGCCAACGGTACTACGCAGTCCATGCTGCACGTTGACCTTTGGATTCTCGCTCTTCATGACTCCAGACCAGAAGAGGTTCTTGGCTGTCACGATGGCTTGAAACCGCGACATTTGCCTGGGCCGGTCTTTCATCATGCGCCACCTGTTCCTTTCGATGGGGGGGATTGGTTCCTGTGGAGTTTGCGTTGAGCGGAGAGCGTGGGGCAAGCATCGGCTGTCACGGCACTAGTGGTGCCAAACGCGTTAGTCAGCCTTGGCAAGCGTCATGGCAAACTTTCTTTCACCAGCACCGCACCGCCACCCGTCCATGGAAAATCTTTCAGACTTACGCACGTGTCGTGTTCGGTACATGCGCCACAAGTCCTTGTCTGAGGCCATCCTCGAAGTTTTCGGCAGTGCGCATTTACTCGTCTTGGATGAAACCGAAGTCGGTTGAGCGGTGAGATAGATGGACGAGAGAATGAATGGATGGCGAAGTTGCAAGGCCGGGTGTTTTGTTCGATGTTGTGTGGGGTGGCTCAAGCTACGCGAGCCACGCTAACCGCATTGGGTATGTCGTTCATGCATTCCACCACCACCACCGCCGCCGAACGCATCGCTTGGGGCCACAGATGTCGTCAAAGAGAAACGACACCAAAGCGGGTGACAAGGCAAGACTGCAACAAAAGAGGCGGCAATTGCGGGTGCACTTTCGGTTGCTTTTTCACCTCTGCTGCAATGCGATGCCGTGTGAAGTCGATGATCCCCTCCAGTCACACCGCACTAACTTGGCCGAAGAGGAGATTTCAGAGCCAAGCTCTTGGCATGGGTCTCTAGCGGCCATGGATACCTTCGCGCAGATACATAAGCTACAGTAGGGAAGCGTCAACAAACTCGACCCTTTTCACCAACTTTCTCTGTTGTAGCCGACGTTCTCAGTCAAAAGCAAACTCCACGCTCAGCAGTCCTACCTGCTCTCAATCAAACTCTTCGCTGCTCTTATCATCCATCACCCCCCAAAGCATCAACCACTACCTAGCCAATCACGGCACGAATTGGGAGGAGTAGTCTGTTCCACCCACCCCTACTGAAGTTTTCATGGAGTTCGCAATCAACAACTATCTCAACCTTCACCTCTACGGCCCCTACAGCCGTCCGGAGGACACAAGCAAGAAGCTTACTTGAACTTTCGCTATAAAACCAGTCAGAATCAGTCGGACAAGACTCGACAACTAGGCCCAGCCTTGATACCACAATGGGCAAAAAACAAAATCCGCTTCAGGACCATGTCAGCGGGCAGTCCAATACACCGCTGTCACTTCCGCCTCATAGTCTGACCCTAGAGCAGACTGTGGCGGAACTCAAGACTGCAACCTGGGATGGCCTTGATGATGCTGAAGCACGCCGTCGTCTCGAAGAATATGGGCCCAATGAGCTTGGTGAAATGCAGGGCGTTTCGCCCATCAAGATTCTCGTCGCCCAGGTAGCCAACGCCATGACCTTGGTTTTGATTCTTGCCATGGCCGTCAGTTTCGGGATCTCCTCATGGATCGAGGGTGGTGTCGTCACCGCCGTCATTGTACTCAACATTGTGGTCGGATTCTTCCAAGAGTACTCTGCCGAGAAGACCATGGATTCCTTGCGCTCTTTGAGCTCACCCACCGCTCGTCTGATCCGTGGCGGCCAGCAAGTCACTATACCCTCGATCGAGGTTGTGCCCGGCGACGTAATCGAGGTGAAGACTGGCGATACCATTCCTGCCGATATGAGGTTCGTTCAGCGCTACTTGATCTTTAAGAGTGCAATCACCCAGCTAACATGACGATAGGGTTTTTGATGCTGTCAATTTCGAGACAGACGAGGCATTACTCACTGGTGAATCGCTTCCGGTCCGCAAACAAGAGAACGGCACATTTCCTGAAAAGACTGGCCCTGGTGATCGCCTCAATGTTGCCTACAGTTCTTCAAACGTCACCAAGGGGCGTGCCAAAGGCGTTGTATTTGCTACCGGGCAATTCACGGAAATTGGTGCCATCGCTGTCCAGCTCAGAGAGACAAAGTCAAAGGTCCGCCCTGTCAAACGCAAAGAGAACGGCAAAGCAAAGCCTCATCGTTACGTGGAAGCGTACACTCTGACCACTACCGACGCCATTGGACGCTTCCTTGGTGTGAACGTAGGAACCCCATTGCAAAGAAAGTTGTCCAAATTGGCAATCTTGCTGTTTGGTATAGCGGTGTTGTGTGCTATCATCGTCCTGGCGGCTAACAAGTTCGACTCCCGTCAAGAAGTCGTCATTTACGCAGTTGCCACTGGGCTTTCTATGATTCCCGCCAGTCTGGTAGTCGTGCTTACCATCACGATGGCTGCTGGAACGAAGAGCATGGTCAAGCGAAATGTCATTGTGCGGAATCTCAAATCGTTAGAGGCCTTGGGAGGAGTGACTGATATCTGTTCTGACAAGACAGGAACGCTGACCCAGGGCAAGATGATTGCTCGCGGTGCGTGGATTCCAGGCGTGGGAACATACACAGTGGAGAACTCGACTGCCCCGCAAGATCCAACAGCAGGCGATATTCGATTTGGTTCCGAGCCACCCCAGACCATGGATCTCAAGGCCGGCGGTGCTGCCTGCGGCAACGCCGTCTCGTCTGACCAAATCTCAAGCCACAAGCACGGTCGCTTCCAGCACTTTCTCAACACCGCGTCTCTAGCTAACCTGGCTGCTGTCAAGCAGAACCACGATGGCGCGTGGCAAGCACACGGTGATCCCACGGAAATCGCCATTCAGGTGTTCGCTGCCCGATTCGGCATGAACCGTGAGGAGCTCGTCAAGGGTGATTCACCCGAGTGGCAGGACCTGGTGGAACTTCCCTTCGACTCCGATGTCAAACGTATGTCCGTCATTATGAAACACGCAAGCGGAACTTTTGTCTTCACAAAAGGCGCCGTCGAGCGAGTCATCCAGAACTGCACCACATATCTGACCGACGATGACGGGACATCGAACCCAGTTACCGAAGAGTTCCGCAACGAGATCCTGCAGAATATGGAGGCTTTAGCTGGTCTCGGACTACGTGTGCTGGCTCTGGCAAGTAAGGAGTACCCGCATGAGGTGGAGAAAAATGCCGAAGTGGATCGCGCTTCCGTTGAATCGGATTTGGTTTTCCGTGGTCTCATTGGGCTCTACGATCCGCCTCGCCCAGAATCTGCACCTGCCGTGCGTCAATGCCATGAAGCAGGAATCGAAGTTCACATGCTCACTGGTGATCATCCCGAGACGGCCAAGGCCATTGCGATTGAGGTTGGTATCTTGCCTTCAGCCGATCGCATGAAACGTATTTCCAGCGATGTTGCCCGGTCGTTGGTCATGACTGCTACCGAGTTTGATAGCCTAACGGATGATCAAGTTGATGAGCTACCTGTCTTGCCTTTGGTGGTAGCGCGATGCGCGCCCAGTACCAAGGTCCGTATGATTGAGGCTCTGCATCGAAAGGGGAGATTTTGTGCCATGGTACGTCTATTGTTGCATGTTGTCCCCAACATCATGGCTAATTTGTTCAACAGACTGGTGATGGTGTAAACGACTCGCCTTCACTCAAGCGCGCAGACGTAGGCATTGCCATGGGCCAAGCTGGTTCAGATGTTGCAAAGGTAAGAGGATGAAGCACCAGTCTGGTCTTGGGCGCTTTACTAACTATTGGACAGGAAGCTTCGGACATCGTATTGACCGATGACAACTTCGCATCGATCTTGGCTGCCATCGAGGAGGGTCGGCGTATATTCGACAATATCCAAAAGTTCGTGCTTCACGTCCTCGCGGAAAACGTTGCCCAGGCTGGAACGCTATTGGTTGGTTTAGCATTCAAAGATTCCACCGGCTTATCTGTATTCCCTTTGGCGCCAGTTCAGGTCGTCTGGATTATCATGGCAACATCTGGAATGCCTGATATGGGTCTAGGTTTTGAAAGAGCTGTACCAGACATTCTACAACGCCCACCCCAGTCACTAAAGACTGGAATCTTCACCATGGAGTTCCTTGTCGACATGGTCGTTTACGGATTGTGGATCACGCTTCTCTGCTTGGCCAGTTTTGTTCTCGTCGTGTTCGGCTTCGGAGATGGCCAACTAGGCAGTGGCTGCAACGAGTCGTACAACGAGTCTTGCGAGCTTGTCTTCCGCGCCCGCGCCACTACCTTCGCCTGTCTCACTTGGTTTGCTCTGTTCTTGGCTTGGGAGATGATTGACATGCGTCGATCCTTCTTCCGCATGCAACCCGGGTCGAAGCGCTACTTCACGCAGTGGATGCTGGACGTCTGGCGCAACCAGTTCCTCTTTTGGGCCGTGTTTGCCGGATTCGCTACTCTCTTCCCCCTCATCTACATTCCCAAGCTCAACACTGTCGTCTTCAAGCACGCTCCCATCTCCTGGGAATGGGGCATTGTGTTCGTCGCCGCAGGCATCTTTTTTGCGGGAGCCGAATCTTGGAAATGGTGTAAGCGTGTCTACTTCCGTCGTCAGGCACGCGCAGCCACTGGCAAGGTTGACAAGAATATGGATATACAAGACCGTGTCTTTGGTCGCTATTACACCGAGGATTCAAGATTGACAGAGAAAGTGTGAGTGGCTCATGAATACGGATACAGTTCATGGTGGAGGAAAGAAGCTCACCCGAGCTCCGTTTTCTCATCAAAAGGCAAGAATCGGGGGTGAGTTGCCAAATAAGACGAGTCGAGGTCTAAATTGCTTTGGCACTGTGTGACGGGAAGCCCCGTAACCAGGCCAAGTAGTCATGGAGAGTGACGTTGCTCGTTATATGCATCCCTGCTCTCGGGTCCATTTAGTAGCATATGCTACCACGCTCCTTTGAATGAATTATTGAAAAGAATGATCTTCGGACCATACACTGAGTGACCTCATGATTTATCTTACTGAGTGACTATTGCGTTCCCTATCGCTTCGAGCGCTAATCACTGGGTCGCATTAGGCTGTTTGTGTGAAGCCATAGCCCACAAGAGTCTAGAAATATCCACGTCCTCACAACACTCCAGTATTACTAGTAAACAATCCTGTGGCCTACAGAGTTGTTTGGCCCAGTCTATCCCGTAACTTGCCCCCAGCCCTGGAATTAACTTATTAGACCTCATTTTAAACACATGCACTAGAAACAGAATACGACACTGCTCATTGCCCTGGCCCTTCATCTATGCAGTAGGATATTGGCACTTATGCTAATTAAATATGGGGGTGCAGAAGGAAGTTACCTCACGCTTTCTGTCCATTTTTTGTGAAACTTTCGCTAATCATCCATCATTGTACTTCCACTGCTAACTCTGCACGCCTTTAAACTTGCCGCAAGGTATCCACAACATGCTGTACACAAATTAGGTTACATTATTAAACTATATTTCTATCTTAATTACCAGGATACCTATACCCCTAAGTTTCTGTGGTATGTCGGATGTAATTGAACCCTTGAGCTTCTCGGCCCTTGCTTGTCAACTCTTATTAAGGCTTTGTTGACTAGCTCCCTACTCGCGTGCTGATATTTGACAGGCTTCGCTGGCTAAGAGCTTGATAAGAGAGTTTGCTTTATGAACGCGCGTCTTCCTTGAATTTGCTCATAAGTGAATAATGTCCCTGAGGTTGGTAAAGTTCCAAATCCGTGACGCTATAAGGTCCTGGTATTGATACTGTGATATCACGGCATCTATACCCTCATTCAGTGTCTACGATACATGAGTTGTGCTGACAACGCCGTACAACGCCTAAGTCCACCTTCTTCTTGCTCTTCGTGATGACGCTACACAGAAAGAGCTTCTGTCTGCTGAATAGAAGTTAGCAAAGGAACTTACTAAAGTTATAGGTTTCACAGTTGATTCCTTTATAGACAAGGAATAGCACGTTATGTTAATAAATTTCTTAATAAGACAAGTTTCTTTAGGCACTAGCCATGCATTCTTGTCAACGCAGCGTGTGCGTATACCTGCTTCGTTGTTATTAGCTCTAATACTATAACTATACAATCTCCTATGGCTGTGAATTCTAAAACTAAACAATGCGCTGCACAACTGGGGTAAGGTATGCGTTATCGTAGTAACCCTGTTGTACAAGCGGGAATCTTTTAAGCAGTATGCAAAGTTCAGGGTCTTTTTACGCCTTATCTTGCTAGATACTACCTTGCTAATGTGACTTCAACTTCACAAACCTCCACTGGCTCTTGCACTGGTGCCTAAGAAATCTCTAACGATGATAGAGATTTAGGTAAGTCTACCGCAAAGAGATCCAGCAGCGCGTGAATACGAGTGAAGACTTACGTTCTAAGGGGCTGTCTAAAGCCTCTATAGCCCGGCTGGAAATCCTCCTTAGCTGCGTCGCCGCCATATTCAACGCTGATAACTGAGATTGTGTTGGCCCAGCCTTGATGGAAGATTGTGGATAGCTTAGATGATGCTGCGATAGGATTTACAGTTGTTTCAGCGGCCATTTCACTACTAAGCTTTAAGTCACTTGATGTTTCTTCTTCTCTTGCGAACAAGATTCCTTTTCCTCAGGCTTAGATGTTATATCTCTTTGTTTTACTAGCATACCTGGTCATGATCGGGCTTAGCTCTTGGGCAATACGGTCCACTTACCTTACGCAGTGTGGCCTACTTACCTTACAGCACAATTCGTTAGATACTATTAATCAATCAATGTCATGTACACTCGACTGTATTGAGCGGCTCAGAAATATATAAACTGTGCATCTGGACGGCCATCTTCCATCACAACAACAAACATCAATCATCTTCCTTCTCATCGACATCTCACCAGCTCAGCAATCGAAAGCTTTCGGCTATACCACGCCCCAAAAACAATTCATCAGTTTGTTCCTCTGCTTCCCCTGGCGAAACCTATGTCTGACATCTATAACAGTGAAGTTCTCCTCAATTGCCCTCCTTACCTCAGTCCTCTCATCCGTTTCAGCTTACGAGGCTCGCTACGAGGGAAACTGTTTCGGCGGAGTCGACTGCACCCAGGCCCAGCGAGACATCATCAGGACCCGTATCAATGATGATTGTCAGAGACTTGATGGAAGGAGGCTTGATGGAGGCTTTGACAATGGCGGCTTTCACTTTGTCTACACCTGCTATTGCATTACCAATGCTTATGGATTCAATGGCATTACGGACAGGGTTGATGCTGGGTTTGGCAGTGCCCAGCGCAAGGCTGTTGGGAAGTTCCTATGGTCTAACAACTGCAAATAAATGCAGATTTCGCAGGATGCTGGCTCCAATTCGAGATGAAAGTGGTTGGATGGAGGATGGTTAGGACACTTGAACCACAACTGCTTAACGCAATACACTCGTTTACAATTATATCAATTCAATGTCATTGGCATACACCTCTTTTACTCTCCTATCAAAGTTATTTGCGTTGATAAACATTATATTTACAGTCCTATATTTAATGCCCCTTAACTTAAATGTACCAAGTTGCACTGGAATATGTCGCGTTCCGGAGCCTTAGCTTCGTCGATTACAGGATCACTATTGTACGAAGGCATGTTAAACGAGACGCGGTACTAAGCTAATAGTTTCAAGCTGTTGTTTTTTTTCATCTCTAACTTTGCTCAAATCTCGAAATTTCGACTATCAAATACACCAGTGAAGATATGTCTAAGCAGTATCCAAAAAAAGACTACCAATTCGACGCACTCATTTCTACGCAGTCCAGCATTGGTTGCTCTAGACGTGACAAAAGCTACCCTTTACTCGTTACTTGAGTATTAGAGGACTTTAACATGGGCCAAATAACTCTGTCATATGAGTAGCGCCCAGACAATGGGCCACATAGATAAGTATAGTTCCTTCTACCATTGATTCATGCAATGCCCGACATGCCTTTTAGCATACAGAGCAAGATAAGAAATGGGCTAGATACATCAGAAACTGATCTTGCTGTCTTTGTGACCCACGTACTAACCACGTGACTCGATCATTCACTTTGTCAAGAGTCAGGTCTACCCTCACTACGCCATGCTACCCAAAAGGGACATACAATCTGTAAATACAGTATATAGTGAATAGAACAAGCTTTGTACGTAACCCACGTGAAGCTACGCCTGATAAACTCAAGGGATTAGCTATTCACCGGCAGCTCTTTCACTGCAGCCACGGAAGTCAGGTGGGGCTAACACTATGGCCGAGGTTCAATACACCCTGCTAAAGTGTCAACATTCGATTAAGTACCGTATGGAGGACATCTCTTTGCCCTTTACAAGTTGAGGTCACACACTATATTGGCATGGCACATGTCATAGACAATTATGTGGTGGGGGCAAGCCTCCTATCGTTTCCAATCCACCAGCCATGCATCCTATCGAAGCTGGGATATACCATATTTGTTCCATGTATCGCACGTGGAAAACAACATACACTATATGCCGTGCTGCAGCCAGATGCAAATCCACACCCACCACCACGGCGTCGGGCGTCGTCATGCTCGGAGTCGCGCGCATCCTGTGCCTTCCCTCAGATGCAGGCACGGCACTTCTCGCCCATGAATTCGTCGTCGATGATTTTTTTGTTCCACACCAGTATGCCAATCCAGGCAAAACGACAAGCCTCGCATGTACCTTGATGGACTCGCCGGGGCAATCTCGGCTCCTTGGTCCAACGGCAACACTTACTAGATCCTACACACGACTCCGAAGCTTCCAACCAGCAAGACGGGTTTCTGGCTGCTGCGCTCTAGCGGGGGGGTGGGCTGCGTGGGAGGTGGATGTTGCCACTGCAGTTGGATTGGAGATATCGCGGTGCAAGGTGGATTAGGTAACGTACCGGTACCTATCGCGGCGACTTGGCGCCGAGGGATGGAGTGGATCGGATGCATCTAGGTACGCTGACTAGATACTGGTAGGTACTTGACGGCGGACACGATCATGGATGTGCGTTCAAGCTGTGTTAGCGAAGGCAGCGCAGTGGAAAACTTCGTTAGAGGTGGCGGGAAGGGAGGGATGGTATAAAGAGACCATTTGCCCGGGCTTTGGGGGATCTTTTTTCTCTCGTCAAAGAAGTTACCAGATTAATCCTTCAGGAAGATATCATGGTGCTAAGATTCGCTACCATCTCAGCTGCGGCTGTGACTTTGTTGTCATTCCCTGGGCAAGTCCTTGCAGAGCCCCTGCCGACTCCTCATCTATCTTTCAGCGGACCCTTCGAGGTGGAGAGAAGCGGCGTGCAGAATATCAATGTAGTCTACAACAGAAATATCAACGGTGAACTCGACATTGCCTATGGCGACTGCGATATACAGACTCGACAGCACGTCGCACATCACATCGGAAGTACACACGTTGGCGAGCACCCACTGGCAAAGCGCCACGCAGAGTGGAAAGACAGCCAACCTACCAAATTTGTGTGGAGAGTTCCCGAGGAGATTGAAAAGGGCTGTCTGCATGCGTTCGTGGGTGATGAGATTGTGGGGCGGTCAAGGGAGTATACGGTCAAGACTAGGAGGGTGAAGAAGAGGGCTACGTTTGCGGAAATATCTGATCCAATGGGACCCTGGTTTGATGGGGTCGAGTATCTGAAACAAAAGAATGCGAATGAGACCTTCGTTGCTGCGACCAAGGAGAAGAAATTTGCGATTCTGGGTGGTGGAATTTCCGGGCTGACGACAGCAGTGAGTTACTTTCAAATCTTACATCTGGATGTTATCAATCTTGAAGTGTGGATGATTGCTAATACATTCATCGTTCTTAGCTTATCCTGGAGTCGGTGGGTATCCATAATTGGAAAATTCTTGAGTCGTCAGACCGATTGGGTGGCCGCATGTACACAGCCTACCTCAACAACACGAAGCCAGAAGACTACCAATATCACGAAATGGGCCCTATGCGGTTCCCTTACACTATGACTGATCCGGAGACCAACGAGACATTGGCAATCGAAGACCAAAAGATGATCTTCCAGCTTGCCGACATCCTCAACGAAATAAACAAAGACAACGATCCTGCCCTTCAAGTAAAATTTGTTCCCTGGATCCAAACCAGCACAAATGCCCCGGTAGCAACTACCAAGCGCCGCCCCGACGGTACTGTGCCAGGGCGCTTGGAAACCCAACTCAACCCCTCCTTGCTCGACAATCCAAACGCCACATACTCCAATGCAACGGCCGTCTACGAAGCCATGGCGGCTCTCGACGACTTCAAAGCCCTAACTCCAGAACGAGTGCGCTTCTATGCCAGAGACATTTTCCGCGCACACAAGCAAGCGGTAGAACAAGGCATGTTGGACTTTAGTGAAGTAGAATACCTCCGGTACGCCATGGGTTACGACGCCAACATCACAGATCAAGTGACCACAACGGCGGTCTCGTGGCCCATGTGGGAGTTTGAAACCGTCTACTTCATGGCCGATAAATGGCTCACCATTGATAAAGGCATGAGTCGATTGCCCGAGGCCTTCCACCCCTTGGTCGACAGCCGCACCTCGTTCCTAACCAAAGTGCACGGCGTCAAGCACAACGCCGACACCAACACAGTCACTGTATTCTCTCGACGCACCGGAAGTTCCCCCTGGGATAAAAACACGACTACAACCGAAGAATTCGACTACATCTTCAACTCGGTACCCTTCCCCCTCTTACGCTTCTGGACCCTCCCCCCACACTCCTCCCTCATGACCCGCGCAATCCAACGTACAGTGTTTGATGGCGCCGTAAAAGTAGCCATGCAATACTCGACCCGCTTCTGGGAACACCTCCCGGAACCCATCCTTGGCGGCTGCGGCCGCACCTCAACCTACGGCATTGGGCAAATCTGCTATCCCTCGCACCACATCAACGCCACTGGGCCCGGCACCATGTTGACGAGCTACATTTCGTCGAGCGATGCGGTAGCGGCGTGCGCGATGCCCGTCGAAGAACACATTGCGTACATTCAGCGGGCAATGGTGGAGATTCACGGGCCAGTGGCGGATGAGGCGTGGACGGGGAATTATGAGAGGCATTGTTGGGAGCAGGATGAGCATCATGCGGGCAGTTGGGCGGTGCCGATTGTGCCGCAGCAGCAGCTGTATTTGCCGGCATTTTGGCAGACGGAGTTTAACACTGTGTTTATTGGGGAGCATACGAGTGAGTTGCCATTGTGTCCTTTTCTTAATAAATGGTTGATGCGTAAGAGATCCAGACTGACCTTAGTGACAGGTTTTACGCACAGTTGGGTGTTTAGTGCGTTGGAGAGTGCGGTGAGGGGAAGTGTGCAGATGTTGCTGGATATTGGACTCGTGGATGAGGCAAAGGAGGTTAATAGGAGGTGGATGGCAAGGTGGATTAATTTGTGAGGGGTTGCAGTAATATCATAGGCTTGCAAGAAGAGAGAAGAGGGATGGGGAGGATAGCCATAGGTAACCCCCTGTGTACAGCAACGTAGATGGGTTGCCGGTAGAAATTACCTGGATGTTTTGAATAGTATATAATCATGTCAGAGCTGTAATCAACCAATCGGTCTGTCAAGTTGAATGTATCGTGCTGGTGTCAGATTGCTTTCTCCATGTTGATGAGGTGAGCTGACGTCGAGGTACTTGAATGTTGTACGGTATAGCGGTAGTTCGATGAGTTCGTTCCGACACGCGGAAAGCTTCGGAACAAAGATGGGTCTTCGAAAGACTGTTTGGCAGACCGCAGATCAATCGCCTGGATCCGTCACAAGCAAAGGACGGTAAATGGGTAAACGCAAGATGCATGAGATGTATCACGTGGTAGCCGTCGGAGACGATGAAGCCATGGATGAATTTCATCAATTCATGACGGCTGGCGGCCACGGCGGGATGCAGCCCCACCCCACTTTCTCGAAGCGGACTAGTCTCGCCAAGCCCTTCTGCAAAAGAAGGCCTGCACGCCGGTCCGGACAATCCAGTGACCAGACATGTCACCTCTCAGTCATCATTTCACCTTCAGGCAAATTGCTGGCCTTGTACTCTAGATAAGGCCATGTCTCTCTCTTCCAGATGTTGTCGCCACTGTTAGCTCGGTTTGATGGCGCTCATGGCTAGATTTCCATGGCCGCTACGGTCGCGCCCGGTTGCGCTCCAGAGGGTGGCTGGCCGTGGCGAAGATATTTCGCCTTGTTCGCATGTTTCACGACGGCGGTCGACAGCCGCATTGCAGTCGCGGGCCATTGCGACAAATGCTGCTGCTGCCCATGAGTCTCGTCCCACTACAGACTCCCCACAAGAAATCCTCCCTCCAACAAAACCCGTGGACCGAAAACAGGCCATCCAGAATGCGAAGCCCTTCTCCGATTTCCTGACGGATACTTTCAACCGGCAGCATGACTACCTTCGTATCAGCGTCACGGAACGCTGCAATCTGCGTTGCTTGTACTGCATGCCAGAAGGTGCGCCTCTTCCCCCTGATGTCGCTATGAACATGCATGCGCGAAAGAGAAGAAAAAGTTACATAGAAAAGAAAGGCACCCATGACTGATGCATGACAGAGGGCGTCCCACTTTCGCCCAACGCCAACATGCTCACCACTCCCGAAATCTTCTACCTCTCCTCGCTCTTCGTCTCGCAAGGTGTCACCAAAATCCGGCTTACTGGCGGCGAGCCCACGGTCCGCCGCGACATTGTCCCGCTCATGCACCAAATCGGAAGTCTGAGGTCAAAAGGCCTCCGCGAACTTGCCCTCACGACAAACGGAATTTCTCTACATCGAAAACTCGACGCCATGGTCGAGGCTGGGCTGACAGGGATCAATCTCAGTCTGGACACACTCGACCCCTTCCAGTTCCAGATCATGACGCGTCGAAAAGGCCTGGATGCAGTGATGAAATCCATTGATCGCATACTGGAAATGAACAAGCTAGGAGCCGGTGTCAAGCTCAAGGTCAATTGCGTTGTGATGCGCGGACTCAACGAAAGGGAAATCATACCCTTTGTCGAATTGGGCCGGGAAAAGGACATTGAAGTCCGCTTCATCGAGTACATGCCCTTTGGCGGTAACAAGTGGAGTGAAGGTAAGATGATCAGCTTCCAGGAGATGCTCGACATCATTCGCGTCAAATACCCCGGCCTCGCAGCCGTGCCCGGTCACAAGAACGACACGAGCAAAACGTTTCAAATTCCTGGCTTTGTCGGCAAGGTTGGCTTCATCACAAGCATGACAAACGACTTTTGCAGTTCTTGCAATCGTCTGCGGATAACAAGTGATGGCAACCTCAAAGTCTGTTTGCATGGTATGGCCGAGGTCTCCCTTCGCGATCTACTACGCCAGGGCAACAATGGTCAACCCATCGACCAGGAAGCATTTGAGCGGATACGACAACTTGAGATGGATCGTAGCGAAGGCCACATGCGCGACGAAACTCCTCTTGGATGGGGCCAGAGAGAACACGACCTTCTCAACCTGATTGGCAAAGCAGTCAAGCGCAAAGAAGAGAAGCACGCTGATTTGAACGAGTTGGCGAAATTGGATAATAGGCCAATGATATTAATTGGTGGGTGAATACTTGGATTTCTCCCTCGCTTCCTTGCCAGTCATGAATTCCATGTTGTTGGGATGTCCCATGGGCTACATTACTGCATAGATGGCGCTTCAGCGAGTTTTGGCCTGGGTTTACCTCCTTGTGAGTGTTTATCATCCTTTCGCAAATGAGGCTTGACTATGTATTCTTTCAATATACCCAAATTACACAATCATGTTTGAACATGAGATGATGGTGATGTGCTCTGCTGACTTCCAGTAGACAAGGATACGCACGTGACAGGCGTCTGCTCAGGCCCACGTACATCGCCTTTTCACACCAACTTCAAATATCCGAATCGATTGACGCTTCACGTGCCATCTGCACCACTTGCCCATCTGTACTCGGCCATGTCACAAACATCGGCTGTCCGCGCCTTTTCGACTTCGTCAAGATTGTGGTCAGAAGTAGAGAAAGAAGAGGATCATGCAGTGGACGATGGTCAGGGTGAATCAGCCGACGTTGTTGCCAACGAGGCGGAAGAACCCGATTTCCTAGAAACACTTAACATAGATGGCACTCTCGGTTTGCCAATTGCAAAAGCGATCAGGCATGTCCGGAAAACACACAAGCTGACGGGTCCGGAATACAACGATTACTGGCGCCTGATGGTTGAAGCCCAGTTGGTTGAAGGGGAAGAAAAAGACGGTGCAAATGCAAATGCTGCACGCGTGCTGACCGATATCGAGACGAACAACGGTAATTTGTCTATGGGCAAACGATCATCTACAACGAAACACGACAGACTAATGGACCATGTTCAAAAATACGCAGACATAGTCTCAAAGACACAAGAGACAGAGCGCATCACAAGCTCTCGCAGAGACGCACTCACAGGTCTACTGGGTGAAATAGAGACGCCTCCGTTTACTACGAGATTGATTGAAGATCTCGAGAGAAAGATAGTTGACCTCCAGAGTCAGATAGGTATGGAGAAGGCAAAGTATGTCTCAGTTACACCAACGGCGTCTGCCAAGTTCGCATTCAAGCCTAACGACATTGAGAGCCAAGCGGAATTTTCACGCCTGAAGCGCAACTCACGAGAAATGCTCATCAAAGAGCATTTTCCAGATATTCAAATCGAAGGTGTCGCACTTGGATTCATGGAGAGGGTTGCGCGGCATTTCTACCAGGCGGAATTCCAATTTTCAAAACAAGGGCCAAACAACTCAGCAAAGGATATACAATCATGGGAGGAATTGCGAACGGAAGTGATCCAGGACCTTCGCGATGGACTCCAACAAACTAAGGGAGTGAAGCGGTGCATTGCCCAAGCGCGTAGGCGCATCCTTGCACTCATGAACGCAGCAAAGACGAGCCCAAGTCCAGTCACAGATAGCAGCGAAGAGAATCCTGCTGAAGGTCTCATATCACAAAGTTCTGAGAGTCCGGAAATGCCTGCGGCAGTCAAAAAAGAATTGTCGGAACTCGAGAAAACAATCGAAGGATATAGACAGCAACTTCGTGTCATCAGGACCGCGGTGTCCCAGCAGGCCCAAAGGGTTAATGATGTGAGGCAGCAGAAGCGAGATCTGCATGCTAGAAGAAAGGCTGTGCTCAGGCAGCTCGAGGAGCAGGAGCTCAGTATGCAGCAAGCACGATTTATATTACGGCCGAAGGTTTTGGACAAGGTACCCAAGCTGCAGCTTCGCACCAATCTCGATGATATCTTGGATGAGGCACTGGTGCAAACTGGAATGCCGGTTGAAGCGGTCGGGGCAGATGAAGGCTCTGTTAGAGAAGGCTCTTTGCACCGGCTTGGTTTTCGCGATGCAGGGGAGATGGACAATGTCATTGAGACACGACATGCCAGCATACCTGGAGCTACCTCATCGGCAGCCCCAGAACCAGGTGCTACCATCACGAGTAGCGCTACGCCTACCAAACCTACGATTCAGTCAGCGATAGATTCAATCTCTAAGCTATCCGGAAGTTCACTAACAACCCCACAATCATTGAGCTTTCAGAAGAACACCGCAACCATTCTTTCTCCACCCGAGCGTAAACCAGGCTCGGCACTCCGCCTGCAAATCCCCACATCAAACACAATATCCATTGACGAGACTTTGACCATAAATTTCTCCGCCCCAGTGCCCACACTCCAGACCCAAATCTACGAGATGCAAAAACGACTTCGTACCTCCTATCCTCGCATCGACAACCTTCCCTACGAAATTTGGAAAAGCGAGAACAAACGTACACTCCAGACGTGGCTGAAGATTCTCGTCGGTCGCTGGCAAACGCGCTTCGACGGAGTGAGAGAGAAGGCGGATGCAGAGGCGGTAGATGAACAGGTTCAAGCGGTGCTGGATCATATGGTTCGAGATCACGATTTGAGTAATGAGGCAGCGGAACGTATGGCTATGCATTGGCATGAGGTTGTTACGCAGAGGGGGCAAATGGATGGGGATGCCGAGGGCGCACTGGACTGGGAGGAATTTGATGCTGGGGGATTTGGGTTCATGGCTGTTGAAGAGGACAACGGTGAGTTTGGGGCAAAGGCGGTGCTCCAAGAAGGTGAGGGCCGAGAGGCGGTGGAGAATGGTGGTGCCTCGATGCCGTCTGGAAAGAGGGGGGATGTGAGCAGTTTCGAGCGGATCACTAAGAGACTGTACTCTACGTCTACGCGACCGCCGAGGGAGGGACTCACGCGATCGTCGATATCAACATCGACATCAGAATCGCAGTCACCAACATCGACATCAAAACCGCAGTCACAGTCACATCAAAATACAACACCCAACCCACACCTTCCCCATCTCACCCCCACGGGAACCGTCCACATGGTCAGCGTCTCCTCCAAAATACCCACCCACCGCACCGCCATCGCCGCCGGCACCGTCGTCTTCTCCAACCCCGCACCGCTCTGCCTCATCCGCAGCGCCAGCCTCAAAAAAGGCGATGTGCTAGCCGTTAGTCGGGTCGCAGGTATCATGGCCGCCAAAAAGTGTCCCGACATCGTGCCATTGTGTCATCCGATTGCGTTGAGCCACGTCAGTGTCGAGGTTGAGATGCTCAGCGCGACGGAAGCGGGTGAATGTGATGAACATGCGCTGCCCTTTGGCGGTGTACAGATCCAAGCCCAAGTCGAGTGCCAGGGCCCCACGGGCGTGGAAATGGAGGCGCTTACTGCCGTCATGGGCGCGGCGCTTAGTGTGCTGGATATGTGTAAGGCGGTGGATAAGAAGCAGCGGATTGAGGGGGTTAGGGTTTTGCGCAAGGAGGGCGGCAGGAGTGGGGACTGGGTTGCGGAGTGAGAGGGGTGGTTTATATACCAGCAGTGTCTCAACAGAGTATATGTGCTAATGCTATGAGAGATGTCGTGGCATATGTGTCGCTCCTCTGTGGTAGTTTTCAGTGTAAGATTTCAGCTATTTCTCCATCCTCTCTTCACAATTTTGTCACATTGATGTGGAAGTCGTGTCTAAGCTTTTACCTCAGATATGGAGCTCAGTTTGGGGGTAGCAAGTACTGCAAATATAGGGAAAGGGGCTGGAGCAGAGAGAAAGAAGAAAGACCTAAAGCCCCTTCTCCACCAAGCCTACCTACCAATTTCTCACCCATCACTCCTTCCACCCGCACCCTCACCCTCCTCACCATTCTTTTTCTCTGTTTACCCTGGTGATTATATCCCCTCTTATCACCGAGCACACCATACAAAACACCAATCCGAAATGGTCTAGTGGCTAGGATTTGCCGCTCTCACTGACGGGGAGTAAGCCATCTTGTAGGTGCCGGCAAGGCCCGAGTTCGATTTTCGGTTTCGGAGAGATATTCATGATTTTTTGGTGGGGGAAGAGTTGGGAAGAGTTTTTTTATGTGTGGGGAGTCGGGTACAGTAGGGTGTGGTGTTGTGTGGTGTAGATAGTGTATCGGTGCACGGGCGCACGGATGCGATAAATTTTGTATACATGGGCCGTTGCGAATCTAGCTTGGCAGTAGAGGTAGGAAGAAGGAATGTACATGCTGCTTGTGTTGGCCGTTGAGAATTATTTTTTTTTGTGGACGGGAAGGAAGAGAGGAGAGGAGAAGGGATAATGTAAAGGAAAAGGAGGGGAACTTCAGAAAGGGTGTTCATCTTACTCGTACTCGTACTCTACCGTACATCATCTGGTGGAAGAACAAGAAGTGCAAGTAGAAGTACAAGTAGATGGCCAAGCGCATTCCTTGGTATCTTGGGCGACGTGTAACGACGAGACACAATGGAGGAAGGCGTGGTTGGATATTCGAGGGATGACAAAGGTACAGGCGAGCCAAGCAAGGGAAAACAAGCACGGGAAATAGACATGAATGGAGGGATCGAATGCATGGAATGAAGAGGAGCGGAACAATGGAACGCAACAATCGGACAAACTGCATTTGCATGTATTCCTGCCCGCGGACTATTGGAAACTTGGATACTATGTGTATGAATGCGTGGATTGGTAGATTGATATTGAATACTGAGCTTAGGCATTGCAAGTTGAGGTGTGGGTTTGTATATTTCTGTCTTGTTCATGGAGATTTGTCGGGGGATGCTGATGTGCATGGAATGTGGCGGCAGAGGGCGTGATAAAGACGGATTTGATTCAGCATTGCTGTTGGCATGTTAGCTTTCTTGAAATACTACGCTGTCTTTTAAGAACAAGTAGGAGTGTTGTTGTTACCTTTCTGGTTATGCAATCCGGTAGTGCTGAGAATTCCAAGTGCTGGAGTTGGGCGAGATGGATGCTTCCAATGTATCTCATGTGTTGTACTAGGCTAACAATGGACAAAACCTATACACAGCTGACTGAACGCAGGATTCTGAGAACGAAAGACAGATACCGTGACCTTTGTTTTCTCGTAGAATACCATACCATACTCATACCTCTGCCAGAGAGTGTGACTTTCTTTTCTCATAGGATAGCTCATACCTCCTCCAGAGAGGTCAAACCTGAGCCTTCATAGCGCGTCATCCCTATCCGCAGCTTTTCCATGTTCCCAAGACTATACGGCAATCATCGTAACCATAGCAAGCAAGGAAAAGGTTATTCGTTATTGAGTCCTAATCCCTACTAACTTCCCACGTCTTCTTAACCCTAATCATCTGCTCAGGCGTACTCCCAGCCGGCCAATTCTCCTTACCCTTTCCCTCCTGCGCAACACAAGCATCCGCAGCAGGCGTGGCCTCCCGCAACGGCTCCATCCTCAACTCCACCTGTGAGGAATTCGTCGTCTCGTCGTAGAGTTCTGAGAAGGTGCTTGTCGGATCTTTAATCGGGTTTTTACTTGCTTTCCGGAAGTAAAAGCCACCAGACTTGCTGTTGCTGGAGTAGGTGTGGTCGGTGCCGTGGCTTTCGAGAGAGGGCTTTTGGCGTCGCGAGAAGAGCGGTCGCATTAGTGGGATACAGGCTAGGCCGATGGCGACGGCTGGTTCGAGGCCTGAGAGGATGGTCGCGAGGACACCGGAGTGCGGCATGTCGGCGAAGTTGAGGCTGGGGAGGAGTGTTTGTCGGTAGATTGTGATTACCCATGTACTATTTTTTGGGTGTGATCAGCCTATGCAAGAGTGGGATTGCTGGAATAAGGTTGACTTACCCGATACCAATGCTAAGTAGACCCATGGCGAGACCTTTCCTCCTCATGGGCATCTTGAGCTTGATGAGATAGGGCATGGGTAGCACTATGATGATGAGGTCTGTCACGAGGTTGATGATGCCCATGGCGAAGTAGAAGTTTGGCTGGCTGCCGCAGGTCCCTGGGAGTTGGGGGTTCCAGTTCTTCGCAAGCGGCCGGCAAATTAAGAAGCCGGCGACAATGTTGGACGAGTTCCATAATATGATTGTGATGCCGATGCATTTTGCCCATTTGATCATGGAGAGCGTGGGTACGAGGGTCACATACATCAGTAAAACGGAGAGTTTACTGAAGCAGACTGTACAGTTCCACAGGAGCGTAAAGGACATCAGGCCCTATGAGCAACGCCCTTAGCTGAGTGTATCTGGTGTACAATGAGGAATGGTTCACGTACTTTGAAGAAAAAGATCACTGTGTTAGCGCCAAACCGTTCATAAATATCCACGAGATGGAACCCGAACCCCCCATGCGTGGTCAGGACCAAGCAACATGTATGCATTGCATTGTTCCATAACTGTAGTTTCTGTTAGCAATTGTGCAGCTTTCTCGCTGAAAGATGAAAGTTACCAGCGCAGCCACAATACAGTAATCACTGAAATCAAATCCGACACCCTTGGTCTTGGCTAAGAGACGAAGACCAACAAGAAATGTAGCAATGAAAATGGAGAGTGCAGATGTAGCGATCAAAGAGTACTGGTTGGAGTTCTCTATTGGGATATCGGCAGCCATATCTGAAATCAAAATTTGATGACAGCGAACTGCTTCCCACCTGAAGCGACGCAGTGGTGAGGGTGAAAGAGGACCCGATAATCGTTTTCAATGCTACATAATCGCATCGAGTCAGTGTTGGTCCCTTAGCGAAAATCTGTGTAGCATCTATATCTGCTGCGCATAGGATTCTAGGAATCCAAATCTTGACAATGACACTGCACATCAGTCAACACTCTCCACCCAATGGGGCGACATCGCGGTGCAGGTACACCACTAGCAACCTATCAGCACGGCGGAAGGCGCCGGAGAGATTTTCCCCTATCACCAGGGAAAGTCTCAGATTGACTAGCCCGGCCAGGTACGCTCAGTTCCCTTTGATAGTCTGTCTAGACCACGACCTTCCTTTTTGCCGAAGAAGTAACGAGACACTGAACGGTCAAGCCCTTTTGTTGCGTCAGTGCAAAGTGTCTGACTCGATACTGTGTCCGTAGCCCGACCTGTAGGCTGGGCAGAGCGGCAATGTTCAATGGCGTGCAGCGTGCCGCGTTTGGTGGCCCGCTTACTATTATCTTAGGCTTGGGATATTCATTGGCGTGAAAACATATTGTTTCTGTCGTCGTTACACACAGTGGTTCATGCACTGCAATATGTATGTAGTGGGTATATTAAGCGATGGTGCATGTTGGTAAAGGATCAAAAGCCACGTGGATCGGTCAAAGGCTTCATGTGCACAGGACCTGGTATATGGGATGGGCCGCAGAATGCTACGCCCTCTCACATGGCCTATGCTCCAAACTTTCAAGACTCACAAGAAGTTTGCTTGAAGGATACGAAGAATCGATTTTCATGTCCAAGGCTCTTCAAGACACTTGTCTTGCTGACGGGTGTATCAGACTTCCTAGCCACGACGCACGTCTTGCTCGGGATCGGGAAGCCTCCCGTACGGAGCGGTCTTCAGCACCGGTCATTATGAAGAGTGTATCTACCAGGTACCCTGGATGTGGCACCGAAATACCTCCGCTCTCTAGTTGAGAGAAATTTACTTGCCCCAACAGGAATTTCACCCTATCGTCGTATACAGTAGGCAATAGCATGGACCTGGGGAAGTACTGTTACAGTCCAAGTGAAGAGTGCATAGTCCACCTCAAATGTCTCGCGAGAATCATCCACCTTTTCGCCCAAGTTCGCATCCTACAACTTGATGGCACCGCCAACAATACACCAGTAACTAGCTGTCATGTTAAACATGGTGACGGCGTTCAGCCGTTTCCCCGGCTCTATCACCTCCACACTAGTCATCAGCCGTTGCACTAAGCAGCGTTGGCGGCCATGGCACACAACGGCTACGAAACGCGTACAGTACGTGGTGGCATGTCATATGACCATGGGTTTAGCGTCGGGCGACTTGGGCTTTACTCCGAGTGGTTAGAATATCCCTGTAGGTTCAAGTCCACGTCACAGCGGCAAATTTTTATAGTTATATAAACTAGCCTATAGTTAAGTATAAATTAGGGTAATTTAAGCAAGTAAATGCAGTTTTTATTACTATCTTTTTTAAATATATTCTAAACCTGTTCTTAATAATATATAGGTATTCCTAAATACTATACTAGAGTTTAGTATAGTAGTACTAGATAACGTATCTAAACTAGATAGTAATATTAGAGATAAATTTAGGCAACTGTATAAAGTGCTAGAGGAGGATAGTAGTAGTAGCGTTAAGGAAGTAAGTAAAAGTAAATAGAACAAGTTTAGAATAGGTTAGTAACACGTTATAGGGGTATAATATATACCTTACTTATAGTAATAGTTAAGGACTACTACTTACACTAGTAATTATTAAGCATGTAGCTATTCTCCTAGTATACCCTTAATTACACAGCTAAGGGTATAGGTATATAATACTAGTTTAGCAATATAAAAATAGCTCTTACCTAATAAGAGAAGAGGTGCTTATACAGGCTACATAGGTAACACGTTAAGAACACGTTCTTAAATTATTCTAATTCTAGTAGGTATAATACTCCCGCTAGTCTGTCTATCTTAATAGGCCTACAACTTCACTATTCTTTAATAGCTAGCTAGCAAGCTAGTATAAATACTAATACTCTAGGGTAAAAGCGTGTAAGTATCTTAAGAATATGTTATAAACGTGTTCTTATTACGTTGTTAATAATATATTATATAATTAGATCTAAACCTTAAAAAGTATAGTATCTAAGAAAATTCTATAAAGAGAACTATAAATAAGAAGCTATTATTATAGCCTTATTAAGCGCTTCTCTTTAAGGATTTATAAGGACTACTAGGTATCTTATTATCCTGTAATAAGGACTATAGTAAATTAGGTAGGGAGCAAAACTTAAATATATTTAAAACGTGTTAATAATAAGTTAGTAAATCATAGAATAAGCTTAACTATATATTAGCTATTAGAACTATAGCCTAATATCTCCTACTAGGAAAAAATATTATTTTAGTTAGGTACTACTAGAGGTAGACTCCACATATCTATAAGGTCTTCTAACTAGGGAGATATTAAATCTTTCTAGTAGTCCTGCTTTATATTCTATAGTTAAGCTATAGTTAAGCTAGATAAAGAAGTGTGGTAGGTATATTGCAACCTATTCCTAACATGTTCCTAACATGTTCTAGGCGTTAATTATCCATAAGGGCAAGGATCTCTATTTAAAATCCTATATAAAGTTACCTTCTAAGTAATTATACTAATAGATATAGTAGTAATACCTTTTTTTACTATTATTTCTTTTAGTATACATATATATATACCTCCTCCTCCCTTAACACTATCTAATAGTAATATTAAGGAAGTAGTAAAGGTATTATAGCCTATACTTACTCTATAGCTTACGTAATATAAGTTATTTGCAACCTATTATAAATATATTCCTAACTTATTATAGCCTAGTTCCTAAACTTAACCTAGCTCTAAACCTATCTCTAACTTAAAGGTTTCTATTCTATTAAAGAAATATATATTAGCTTTATAAATAAAGATAAAATCTTGCGTATTATAAAGCGTAAAAAGCTTCTATAGTTCCTATTTAAGAGTAGCCTTAGAGGAGTACACTATAAGTAGAGGATAAAGTATTAGGATCCTAAAACTATACATAGTATAAGAGAACAGGTTTAGAACACGTTGCTAACACGTTACTATAGGCGTACATATAGCAAATCTTTATATTAAGCTTAGGTAACTTAATTATTTGCCTTTTTAAAGAGTAGGCATTAATTCTATTAGATTAAGACATGTTCTAGATAGATATATTATATAAGAGGTTATATAGGGTATAGGTAGAGATTCTAATAGTAATCTTCTACCTATAGGAAAAGAAGCGTACGCATTAAGAACAGGTTTATAACACGTTTCTAACACGTTGCAGTTATTATACTTAGCTAAATTATTATAGATAAGGACACAACTAAGATATATTAAGTTACTATTACTAACTTCTTTTAGAAGTGTAAAGCACTTATAAAATAATAAGTGTTATAGAGGCATATTTACTTATAGGGATTCTATAGGACTACTATTAACATGTGCAACAAGCAGATAACAGGCAAGTTTTACAGCGCACTGCAACATGTTCGTAACATGTTTCTAACTTATTTCTAGGACTTAGGCGCTATCTCTAGTTAATTAATCCCTATAAGCGTAACTAGCGCTAGCAACTTTAATCTTGTATAAGATTTTATTAAGTATATCTACAAAGAAGTATTTACAAAGCATATAAAAGAGAGCTAGATAATACTACCTCTTTATATCTAAGTAAATTACTACAGGTATTAATAGTAGAGGAATACTTTTAGCTTGCTAACCTCCTCTTATATAAGTAAATATATTCTAAACCTATTCTAAACGTGTTCCTAACTTATTCTTATATAATTAGAATATAAACCCTCTAAAGATACCTAAAACTAGGCAATCTATAAGAAAAACCTAGTAATTACTACTAGGATTATGTAATACTGTAGTAAAATATTAAAAGAGGTATAGGAAAAACTAGAATCTTATTTAAATATAGCTAAGCAAGTAGGCTAGAAAGGATATAAAACTAGTAAGCATGTAAGTATTCTTAAGGCTACTTAGAAGTAAGTTTATAACCTATTCTTAACCTATTAGAATTGTATAAGTAATATTATATAGTGCACACTAGATAGATCTATAGGATATAAAAGAGTTTAAAGCCTAGAGCAAGTTTAGAATACGCTATAACTATAGAACTCCTAATAGGCTTAAGCAAAGGTACCTTAAAAAGCTTTAGAGGGGAGAAAGTAAGTCTTACACTAGTGTTATACATATTTACTAATTAAAATGTGTTTAGAACGTGTTTAGAATATATCCTATAATAATAATAATACTCTAGATAATAATAAAGCAAGTCTTGCTATATCTAACTTAACTAGATATATCTTAGTCCTAATAAGAAATAAAAGAGCACGCTTAAAAGCCTAAAGCTAAAGGGCAAGTAGTAGAGCAGTATTAGAAAGAAGTTCACTAGCCCCTTTTCTATCTTCTCTACTACTAGGCTCTTCTCCTCTACTAATAGTAACCTAAAGGTATGCTTTGCAAAACACGTTTACAATATATTCCTAACTTATTATTAGTCTATAACTATAAACTTTATAACAAAAGGCTCTTCTTAGTAATTAGGCTCTAAAGGAGAGAAAAGAAAAGCTAGAGGTAGATAAGGAAGAACTTGCATAGAAAAAGGCACTATTTAAATTGCAAAAGGCATAGTTTAAACTTAAGAAAGAGATAGCTACTTTTTATATAAGGTAGGGTTAGTCTATAAATATAGTAACTAGTTCCTAACTAGTTCTTAATATATTCTAGTCTATCACGTAAGTATATATAAGTAGATAAATATATATTCTTTCTTCTTCTCTTTCTTCTTCTTTCTTCTTATACTCTACAAGAACTTTTTATATTTAAGAGTTTAATACTATTTTACTATCTATCTTTCCTAATATTATTAGATATAACTAGTTAATATAGTCTATAAAGATCTTTTAAAGTTAGTATATAATAGAACGCGTTAGGAACACGTTATAAACTTGTTCTAATACTAAGTAGGATTTATACTAGTAATATATTAAGCTTAAGTTACTTCTATCTAATACTAGGGCATTCTCTCCTATAATATCCTACCTAAATAATAGGTGTATAGTATTTCCTAGCAAGCTTTTCTACTAGGCTATTTAGGCTAGATTAGGGGTACAGGAACTTTATAGAGTATGTATATATATAAGTTAGAACACGTTTACAATATATTAATAACTATTTTAGCGTTGCTTCTCTAATAGAGGCAATCTTATCTACTACCTTAAGAGGTATTATCCTAAGGTTTAAATAGCCCTAGTAAACTATAGCAGAACTATAATACAAGGTATTATAGAAGTAAGGATCTTCTATAGGAGCTTAATAGTAAATACTTAAGAATATATTCTAAACACGTTAATAATACGTTCTCTGCTAGTAGAGTAGACTACACTAAGTGCCTCCTCTAAGGTTTAAGAACCCTCTAAGATAGCTAGTCTATAATAAGAAGTAGTAGCTAGAGTAGAGGCTAAAGAGGAAGTAGAGAGTAAAGAAGAGGAGTAAATAGTTGCTCCCCTTTACACTATAAATAATATTTAGCGAAAGTAGCAAAAAGAAGATATAAGTCTAGTCTCTTAAAACACGTTTAGAATATATTAATAATACGTTATAGCTAGACACCTATAAATACTAGATTCTTCTTTAATCTAAGGGACTACTAGAGCTTTATAATACCTATAAAAGTTAAAAGAAAAAGTTATATACTATTAAAGGACCCTATAAAAGTAAATAGTACTTTACTTTTAGTAGATAGAAAAAAAAAGAGAAGAGTAGAGAGTTTATTTTAGTAATTACTACTACCCCTTTAGGTTATATACTATTATATATTATTTATTAGAACCTATTCTTAACACGTTCTTAATATATTCCTACTTGTTACTATTATTATCTCCCTCCCCCTCTCTAGTATCTTCTCTATCCTCCCTATCCTCCCTAGGCTCTACAAAAGCATACCGCAAGTAGAACTAGGCGGTATTCTAGCAGGAATTAGCAAGGTCTACACTAGTATTAAAGTAATAGTCTTAAAATATATTAGGAATAGGTTAATAATATATTATAAACAACTTACTATAGCTAGGATAATTATAAGCGTAGATAGTATAAGGAACCTAATAACCTTAAATCCTTAGTAGGGTAGATATAGTAATAAAGTTAAGCTATAATAAGTTAGTAATATATTTTTAATAGGTTCTTATAGGCTATACCTTATTACTATTATAGCTACTACAAGTCTTCTTCTAAATTATATTTAGGAGGGTATTAGTATTTATAGGGGGGCCTATAGTAGCTGCTAGCTAGGCTTAGAGAACTTCTATAAAATATGTTAGTAATAAGTTTTAAATATATTCTAAATAACTTATAGTAAGGAGTATTCTAGTAATTATATATAACCTTTATATAGAAGTCTATATATATTAGTATAACAAGTTAAGAATAGGTTAATAATATATTTACTCTTTGCCTTATAGACCTCTATTATAGAGGGCTAGCTAGTCTTCTTAACCCTACTAACCTTATAGTAGGCTATATTAAGCCTATAATCTTTTTTAGTATAGGTATATAAAGTGCCCCTAGTACCTAGAATAGCCTAAGAATATTAGAACCTATTTAGAATATATTTAGAACCTATTCTTACTCTATATAAGGTGCCCTTATTATTAATCTTAGTATAGTAGTAGCGCTCTCTACTCTCTATCTTAACTACCCTATTAGGGCTAACTATAGGCTATACCCTAATATTATCTAGGACGTAGCTAAGGGCAAGGTATTATTAATAGTGCTTCTATAACCTATTAAGAACACGTTCTAAACACGTTTTAATCTACTTACGTAGGATAAGAGGGATACGTTAGTAATAGGTATAGCGGTAGTAGCTTATAGTATTACTAGTATAGAATGTGTTTAGAATAGGTTTAGAACGCGTTGTAAAATCTTATAGCATAATATTTAGTTAACCTCGCTTAGCTAGCTAGTAGAGCTTGGCACAGCCTAACCCTATGCTGAATACGAGTTCACGCAGCGCTAATTCCATGGTCATATGAACTGCGCCCTCGTACAGTACTCCGGATAGATAGCGTCAAGTCAAGCCTCGAAGCTTTCTGAGGAACCCCTCACATCGGCACATGGCGTAGTCAATGTCTGATTCACGTGGTTTCTTCATTTGTACTGAACTTCCCCAACATACTTCTTTTTTTGCACATCTGAAATCTCCTGTCTCACATTGCGCAATGAGCCTCACCAGCAAAAACCAATCCCCGGTCGCATTAGTGACGGGCGGTACGGTCAGTACATATGCTGCCAAATTAGCAACAAGATCGACTCTGACACGCGTTTTTTCAGGACGGCATAGGACTATGGCTCGCCACTCATCTACAGACTCGTGGCTACCGGGTTGCGATTTGTGGTCGACGGGAAAGCAAAGGGCAAGAGATTGTAAAATCGATTGATCCCTCGGGCGAGTCAATCATGTTTGGACAGTGCGATGTTTCCTCCTATTCTGCCCAGGCAAAGCTCTTTCACAGCGTATGGAAGAAGTGGGGTCGACTCGATGTATTCGTTGCCAATGCTGGAACCGTGGACCATGGTTCCGTTTACAACTTTGGGCGGCGTAACGCGCCCGTTGACGACTTGCCTCCTGAGCCCAGCACAGCTTGCACTGACATCGACTTCAAAGGCACCATATACGGTACCACTCTCGCAACCCACTTTATGCGGAATAACGCCCACGGCAAAGGGGGCAAGATTATAGTGACGGGCAGCATGGTCGGTGTATATCCATGTCAAACTTTCCCAGAGTACTGTGCAGCCAAAGCAGCGACTCATCAGTGGGTCAGAACATTAGGGCCGATACTTCTCCAAAAGGAAAGTATCTCGATGAACTGCGTCATGCCCGGTGGCATCGAAACGGCTGCCATGCCTGGGTTCTCAAAGGCGTTCCGACCGGAGCAAATGACGTTGCAATCCACACTGCTATCCGCATATGACCTGTTCCTCGACGATGCAGCAAACATAAAGACTGGTCAGTGTATCGAAGCCGCACATGACAAACTGTACGAGTGGGGCACACCGGAATACAAGAGTGGGGCGTTTGCGAAACGGACCGAGGCTGTGTTCGAGCCTTGGTTCGAACTCATGCATGGGGAGAAGAGCGACTTGCCCGGAACTGTGCAGGACTGGCCCAATATGGATTACAAGATCATCGCCGTCACTGGCGCGACGGGAGCTCAAGGTGGTGGCGTAGTGAATGTTATGAAGAATACGCCTGGCTGGAAGGTCAGGGCTATCACGCGGAACCCAGAAAGTGATGCAGCAAAGAAACTTGCTGCTGAGGGGATTGAAGTTGTACAAGCGGACTTTGACGACCAAGAATCTCTCCGCAACGCCTTCAAGGTGAGTACATGTCGTCGATACTTGTATCCATCTGGTGGCTAATGGTACAATTTACCAGGACGTCCACGCCATATTTGCCGTTACGCAATGGTGGGAGCACGTCTTCAAGGGCAAGACTCAAGATGAAGCTGGCAAGATCGAGGAAGAGCAAGGTATGAATATTGCACGAGCGGCGGCTGGAATACGCACCCTGGAGCATTACATCTGGTCAACAACACCCAGCGCCAAAATCATGCTAAGGGGCAAGCTTCTCACCCCGCACATGGACTACAAAGCGATTGTAGATGCTAGGATCAAGTCCGAGTTGCCCAATCTGGCTGCCATTACCACATACCTCTACTTCGGATACTATCCGCAAAACATGGCTTTCTTCCCACTGTGCAAGCCGATGGAATGTGTACGTGTACCCAGAAATACGAAGATCGAAATCGAGTGAATTATTGCTGACAAGTTTGTCTAGCCTGGGACAGGCAAGTACATTCAGACTCTGCCAACGAAAGCCAACGCAAAGATCCTGCTATCCGGTGACATGACCGTCAACCCTGGAATCTGGGTCCGACAGGTCCTCGCCACAGGTAGCGAAGCATACGGAAAGTACGCAAACGTTGCTTTGGAAAAGTGGACGTTCCAGGATATGGTGGATGTGTGGTCCGAGGTGACAGGTAAGCAGTGTGTATTTTTGGAGACGACATCAGAGGCCATCACTGCTCTGCATGGCGTGGTAGGCAATGAACTCGCGTTGCAGTTCCAGTTTGGCGAGGCTTGTGACCCGTGGGAAGAGACGAAAGATCACATCCGTCCGGAAGAGCTGGGCATCGATCGCAGTGAAGTCGTCGGATTCCGTGGGACTATCGAAGGTCTCAAGAAGCAGGGATTCTGGACTTGAACTGATGCTCCACTGATCCGGCAGTTGGTGTTTGTTTTTCTTTATACGAAGGAAATCCGATTCGAAAGGCTGTTGTCCTCTTAGCGTGCTCTTCCCCTTAGATCAACAATCGTCTCCTCCAATTGTAAAATTTGAGCATCTTGAGCTTCAAGAATGTCTCGCATCTGCTGGATGATGTGCGCCTGCGATCTAACAACCTCTTGTTGAGCTTCCAAAGTCTCTTGCTGAACCTTTATGGTTTCGGCATCAGCCAACATGATGTTCTCGTACAGTTGCATGACCGAATCAGGATGGACCTTGCTGTCCGTCTTTGGTGGATCGATCGAGTATGGTGGCGGTGGTTGGTGATGCAGCGGCTGATTGCGCAAGGGCAGACGCATTTGAACGGTTGGAGGACTTTCTGGTGTGTTGTTCTTTGGGAGTCTAACGTTGCTTGGCTGTTCGGCGCTGTGTGATTGTTCACGACGTAGGCCCTTGATCTGACGAGGGCTTATGGTAGATCCAGCCTTGCTTCCTACTTGCATTTGGACTGTATATCGAAGCACGATACTCATATTCATAGAGCAAAGGACACATGCGCACGCGATGATGAAGCGAAGGCAGTAAAGAAAGAGTACACTCCAGGCCAAGACGTCTGTTACAAAGATCTGAGTCGCCATCGCTGTAGGAACGGTACGGTACGGGTACTGGAGGACTTCTCATGATGTCGGTAAAGGGACAAGAAGCTCTCTTTATCAACACTGGCCCGGCCAACCCCTTTTGCGACGGTGTGGCTGTCATTAGGTTCCGCGTATCCTGTTTGCGTGTAGCGGGGATAGAATAGGTGTTCACGCGCAGTTCTCACGCTGCCACTGAGACAAGCGCGTCTTCACCGTGTCGTGCGATTGGTTCTGTTACGACAGTTCTGAAACATCACACCTCCAACCTATCGTCACACGCTCAACAATAAGACATTGATCAAAGTCTTATTATACAAGTACAAGTCCAATTATGGGATGTTGTGCATGATCAGCGTAATTCATCCTGTCGGCCCGTTAGTGCGTGAACAGTCGTTGCTCACGATCACCACGATCACCACGATCACCGTAAGCCCGAGATTGGAAGTTTGCTCGCCCATTCAGGCCCCCCTTGCATCCTCATCAGCGGCCCGTTCCTTAGGTACATAGTAGGCCCGCTCATATCAACGCGATTCTTGTCCGCTGTCACATGCCCATCTTTGCTGTTGCTTTGCGCGGCTCCTGCGATTCGTCCGTTCGTTGATGCATCTTCCTTCTGTTCTGCTTTCTTTGTCAGGAATTACTGTATACCAGTACCTTGGCGAGTGATGCCGGTAGCACACCTTGTTTGCTGTGGTCAGAGATATCTCGGTCACGTGTGACTCTTGAATGGGCTTAGCCTCTTGGCGGTGCTTGCCCATAGATAGCTCCCATCCTGCTATAGTAGACTAGGACAATATAATCACATTACACACTGCATTTAGGCCCTCCTCATCGTCGGATACTGCATTGTTCAGCCTCGCATTTGCCAATAACATTGTGCCAATAACATTGTCCTTCTCCCTCGCCCGCAGCTCTTCTCCGTCTTTGCCATCTCATGGCTCATCAGTGGCGCCACCAGGAAGGCTTTCGATGGCGGCGACTGGGAACTGACTTCCTCGCGAATTGGTATAGTCTATGTCAAATGCACAACCCGTATTTAGCTTCAGTGGTGGTTTGTGGTGGTTGAGGCACAATGACCTATACGCACTCGTGAATCTCTCTATGCGCAAAGTACCTACCGGTATGGTGCTCTGGAATTTCGACATCTCTAGATTAGGTAGACCAGTGCCATTCTACCGGATTCCCCGGCATTATGGGCTTGCTTTTCATCGCTACTTTTCATCGCCATTGTTTCCTTCCCTTCCCAGACCACGCAAATGCTAAGAGTCCGCTACTTGTGTCACCGGCGCTTGGAAAGGGATCTGGGGAATGGAGCTTCGTCCGACCCTTTGTGATTTGCACACCACATCTCTGGGTCACTATGCACCACCACCAACTACAGAATTTCCTACACATGTCGAAAACAGTGTTGTTTGAAAGCTGAAGAATACTCAGTGTTTTGAATTAGATGTATGGGTTTGCTGGCTGCCATCTGCATCTTTGGTGCGGTTCGGAAACTTTTCTTCAATAGAGATCCAGGTAGATTAACCTATTGAAATGTATCTTTGCCGTGGAAGGTCCCAAATGGAGAAGAAGGGAATGAAGGAAGAGATGGAGACTGAAGATAGGCTGCCATCACGCAAAGAATCTTGCAATACATTTTTGAAGGATCTATTCGGTTCTGAGGAGGTGGCAAGAGCAAACTGGTCCAATAAGACTTGGAACCTGTGCGAGTGTCATCAAGTCCGCGCATTAAAACTACGGAGGCCATGCATTCCAACCGTGTAAAGTGGACAATGCTTATTGTTGTTCCGCGGACATTGTCAGTTCTGATAGTATAAGTTCGTGTCCATCAGCAAAATAGACATGGTACCGTTTTCTCTCTTTTTGCTCGTTGCATTGGGAGAAGACCCAAGTTCTTCACGTTGTTTCCACTCGTGCTTTGGTGATCTTTCACCTCTAAGCTAGAGACCTTTCGAACCAACAGCATTTCCTTGCGTTTTTCTTATGTTTTTTCGTTTGCAGAGCACAGCTTTTGAACATATGAGACAGTCTAACTCTGCCGTTGGCAGCAGCTAATTGTCTTCAAGGTCATATCTAGCGTCCGAAGTGCTACACCCACTCCTGGGCTTATCCCCACCAGAGACGGCACCTGCGGTACAGGCACAAACTACAACTGTATCGGCTATGTCGACGGAGACTGTTGTTCACAGTATGGCTACTGTGGTCTGACCGCTGGCCACTGTGGCGCTGGCTGTCAAATAGGTTATGGAAGATGTGATGGCCTGAGTTCATCCGTCAGGTCCACCGTTGCCGGCATTTCTATCGTTGCCGGCATTTCCACCATCGCTGGCATTCCAAGCATTTCCAGCACCCGAATTGCTACGCCATCTGTCGTCCCCGGTCTGATTCCCACTAGGGACGGCAGCTGCGGTACAGGCACAAACTACAACTGCATTGGTTACGTTGATGGAGACTGTTGTTCGCAGTATGGCTACTGTGGTCTGACCGCTGGCCACTGTGGCGCTGGCTGTCAAACAGGATATGGACGATGTGATGGCCTGAGTTCATCCACCGTTGCCGGCATCTCCACCATTGCCGGCATTTCCACCGTTGCCGGCATTTCCAGCACCCGAAGTGCGACGCCATCTACTGTCTCAGGTCTCGTTACTTCTAGAGACGGAACCTGCGGTACTGGCACTAACTACAATTGTATCGGCTATGTCGACGGAGAATGCTGTTCGCAGTACGGATACTGTGGTCTTACTGCCGGCCACTGTGGCGCTGGCTGTCAAGCGGGCTACGGTAGGTGTAACCTACTGTCGCTGAGCTCATCTGTCGGATCTAGTGTCGTCAGCATCTCTCGCACTCAAAGTGCTACGCCATCCGCCCTTCCTGGCCTCATTCGCTCACCAGATGGGACCTGCGGACCAAACACAAATTACAACTGTATCGGCTATGTCGATGGAGAATGTTGTTCTCAAAACGGATACTGTGGCCTCACTCCCGCCCACTGTGGCACCGGCTGTCAATCGGGCTACGGTAGGTGTAATCTACAGTTGGTGAGCTCATTTGTCGCATCTACCGTCGCCAGCATCTCGCGCATTCAAAGTACAACGCCATCCACTCTTCCTGGCCTTATCCTATCCACCGATGGATCCTGTGGAGCTGGCACCAACTACAACTGTATCGGCTATGTCGATGGAGAATGTTGTTCGCAGTATGGATACTGCGGTCTTACTGCAGGCCACTGTGGCGCTGGTTGTCAAGCAGGCTACGGAAAGTGTGACATACAATCAGCGGGATTGAGTTCATCAACCCGAGCTGCGACTTCGGCTTTGCCTCCATCATCGGTGCGTCCCAATTTTCCTACTCTGTGTTCAAAAGCTGTGGTCTGCAAACAAAAATCATAAGGTAAGTATATCATAATCTTGCTCGGTGTGCGCTTTGGCCCACGCCACTTTGGAGCAAGCAACAAAGGGATACCTCATTGGAAAGAAAATGAGGTGAACGGTCAATACATACGAAGACTACAAAACTACCAAACCTCGGAACGAACTCGAACACGAGACATCGGACATGAATTGGCTTGTAAGTCCTCCCCCCAACCACACGAAACTCATCTACACTAACCTCTAGGGCCTCACATGACTACATAACCACTCTTCCCTGTTTATACCACTTGTCAATACCTTTTTTATCTTACAGCACCATGAAAGATTATACTTCCTCATACATCAAACATACAACTTTCGCTGATCGCGGTCCTCTTTGAATGCACCACAGCAAGGGCTACAAGATGAATCCTCTAGTAAGCCTTCTTCCCAGCCACCTAGACGTCTCATGCACAAACTCTTAGGGCCTCATATCACACCAAATATTCACTACTCGCTACATATCACATACAAATTTGTCAGTCTCCCTCACACCTCACTCACTTGAAGATCCTAACCACAATAAACATCAAGCATACATCTCCCTCATCGAGTCTTACTCATACCGGCCACCCATCTTCTCGGCGGTACAAGAAGATATTCCAGTCACACCCAGACACGAACCCGCTCGTGAGTCTTCCTCTCTTCTCAAAAGCTCTCTGATCTGAATAATTATTAAGGACTACCCATGATCACATCACCGCACCATTCGCCCCCTCTATCCTCTCCTTTGCCTCTACCCAACCATCTACCACTCAACCACTGCCTAATCTTGGATATAACCACTACTGGCATTGTCACTCCAATCTACCTCCTCTCCGAAATCCAGATATAGATCTCTTTGTAAGTCTCCGTCCCTCCAATACCCCACGCCCCCTTCTTGTCGCCTAAATTAGCCCATAGAAGCTTCTTTCTCTTCTCCCGAGTCATCTATCATCCACTACTTATCCATCCTAACCCATCGAGCATCAGGCGTGCCTTTCCCCCCCATCCTTCACATCCTTCCCATTCCCCAATACATGTACAGCCTACCCTCGCCTGCCCGACCCCGCTCCAAAGCATTCCAAATGAGCACATATCATGCACCCATCATTTCCGCGGCCGCTAAATTACAGCTTCAGAGATGGTATCCTTGCACAGGGGAAGTTCAATGGTGAACCCATTATGGTTTCAAATGCGTGAATCAGGGTCATGGGGGATCTGCGGATGCGTGGAGTTTCACGGTATGTTTTCCTTGTACAAAGAGATCATGCATGGGAATGATGAATTGCTGACTAGCAGCTTTTATGGCTCTCAGGATAGATGCAGCAAAGGAGAGAGAGGGGGGGAGTGTTGAGCGCTGAGCGTTGGTACGCAAAAAAATCCCTCTTCAAAGACAAATTCTAACGTTAATATCAAAGACTTTATTAGACATAGCGGTACCGGTACTCCCCAGCCATGCCAAGCTCCTTTGCCCACCACATATTCTTACCGACATGCTGCAATATTAAGCTCCAATTATTAAAAGAATGCGAGGCCGTGCATTTTTATTTTCTTTTCTGATTCTACTCCATGCCTCCAAAGCCGCAAATGTCGCATACCGTCCATGATTTCTTCCGCGGCGGCGCACGTCCAGTTTCAGATCGAAGAGTGTTGCTTTATATGGATAAGTTTTCCTACTGCACCCTAGTCTAGACCACAATATAAGAAGAGTGACTCGGTAAAATGGGCTTGTTTCCTTATAGAAACCTCTCATTTAACAATTTTTATCTCCGAAGTATGAGATTTAGTGATGTATTCTGAAATTAAGAATAGTGCAAGTTGCAGACTGCAACCTACTATGCTAACTTTAAGCCAGGCACGATAGTAATACAATACACGGAGAGGGCAAAAAACAAATTCATTCTGCCCTGAGGGAAGAGAGAAGCATAATTGACGCGGAGATTAGAGGATAAGATCGGGCTTGTGACGACTTGGTTAGCGCCATCTAGACATGCAAGGAAACATGTTTCTCTCGAAACCCCGAACTCTATCATGTTTTCTCAACGAAGACTCCCTTCTTACACCTCGACAAGCACATCGCCTATCACATTAACCAACTTCAAGCCTCCCTCCCTCCCCTCTACCTTCGCGCTTCTCACCACTCCCTCTGCATCCCACTCGAACCCAACAACCCCACCACCTCTCACCCTCAATCCCTCAACACTCCCCGCACCCCATGCCTTCGGAATAGCCGGCCCCAACACCACGCTCTTGACCCTCTCATCACCGACCACTTGCGGTAAATCCACGACCAACATACTGAGCACCGCGCCTCCGAGGCCGAAGTTAGCGTCAATTTGGAATGGTGCGCCAGTACCTGAATACATGCTGAAGCCATTGCCTGCGAAGTTCTCTTGTATGGCGTAGCGCAAGTGGTAATGCGCCTGCTGTGTATCATTCAAGCGGGCCCAACAAGCTGCGCGCCAGACCTTGCCCCATCCGGCATTTGCGTCGGGGCCGTTGCCGTTGCCGCGGCTGATGAGCTTCTGGCGGATGGCAGATGCGATGGTCTTGTTCGTGTATCCGGAGAGAAACGAGGAGAGAGAGTAGCCTGGGTACCAGCCTACAAGCTCGGAGAGGTGGCGATGCGTGTCGTTTGGGATGTCATAGCCGAATGAGTCTGGGAGCTTCCACTCTTTGATTTGACCAAAGGAGCCGATGTGGAAACCTGTGTCGAGAAATTTCAGCGAGGAGGAGATGTTCGTTGTGAATGCAGTGTCCGACTCGGAGACGATGGGGGAGAGTGTCAATATTGCGTCGAAGAGTTGGTGAATGACTTGTTGGAAATGTGCGCAAGCAAAGGTTGTGGGACCGTGTTCGGGACTGTTGCAGGGGATTACGACTAGGCTGTTGTCGTTGCTGAACATATCGAGTTGGAGTTGATGAAGCCAGAATTTTGCGACGCCTTTGAGGAGTGGGTAGCCTTGGGATTTGAGCCATGCGGTGTCGCGCGAGTAGTCCCAGTGGTCATATACGTGCTGCATCATCCATGCGGCTGCAGCTGCGTAGTTTGCCCATGATGCGCCGCTTTTCATGCCTGTGTGTCCGAAGATATTCATCTCGTTATGGACTACCCAGCCTGGGGCGTCGTAGAGTAGTTCGGCGGTTTCAGTGCCTCGTGGTACCCAAGTGTCAGCCATGTAGTCCCAGAGTGGTGACTGTAGGTCAGTCAGACCTGTCTGATCGGCTGTCCAGTGGTTCATTTGCAGGTTGATATTCGCGTGGTAGTCGCCTGACCAGGCAGCATATAGTCCTTCACTCCAACGACCTTGAAGATTGGGAGGCAGGGATCCGGCACGCGAACTAGAGATGAAGAGGTAATTGCTGTAGTCAAACAGTAGAGACTCTAGGTAAGGATCACCGTTTGTGTCCTCAGAGTCATAACGCTCGATCAAATCTAATGTGGGTGTCTGCAAAGAGTTGAGAGTGTCAGTCAGTGAGAGTTTGAAGCGCTCAGATAGAGACGTGAAGTCTTCAACATGAGCGCCCACCAGCTCCACTGAAGTCTTTGCAGCAGCCTTCTGCGTGGTTGCCTCGACAGTGGGTCCCGGATCTTCACCGCGAAATGAGTAATCAAACTCTGCCGTACCCTTCTTTTGATCATAATCAGTTTCGGCGCCCAGAATAACTGTTACCGAATTGGTCCCATTGTTGGGGGTGATGTTCAAGATAGCTGTGCCGTTGATGCATGACATCTTGATGCCTTCAGGCGATGCAACCCGTGCGATGGCATCATAACGCATCCCCTCTGGTGGCCCAACCTGCGTGACACCACGCATCCTCACATGATCCACTTCACAAGTACGAGTTTTCAACTCTGAAGTAACCAATTCGTTATCTAAACTTAGCTGCAGCACGGGTAGCTGGCCTGAGGATTGCGCGCTATATACGCAGACCTGATCTGGATATGAGCAGAATACGGTCGTATTTATCTCATTTTCATCCACTTTGTAACGTGTCGTATGGATCCCGTTGACAATGTCCAGAGTACGTGTGAAGCCGGTAATGGAGACATTACCTATCTGAAGACTAGGAATCGAAACACTTAGGTTGCCCAGGACTCGATAAGAGCCAAAGTTACCATCCTCTCCAAGCAGCTCAGTCACGTTGCCTGTGCCATTGGTGAAGATCCAGTCCCGGATGCCAGGGAGCGCTTGAGCGACAGCCGAGGTTGGATTGCCGCCGGTGTAGCTCTTACAGTTGGAACTATTATTTAGATACGACTTGAAATCTATGGAATGGGAAGCTTACAACGGTTTCAAATGGCCCGCCAGACCACAGGCTATCCAGATTCAAATTTACAGTCTCTTGCCCTGCAGGTCCAAACGGCATTGCACCTAGTCGGCCATTTCCCAGTGGATATGCAGTTCGAATTATGTCAGTTGCGGTAGCAGGCACCCGAGACCACAATGACTTGGCTTGTATCACATCAACACAAACGAGTGTAGAAAGTACCAAAAGCCCTGTAGGAGGAGGCAACTGCCTGGTTATGCTGACCATAGCTTCGAGTAGCAGTTACAAGAGATAGCGAAGAGATTTTTGAACACGGTTGTCTTAAATCCATTGAGGCCTACCATTATGACGACAGACTAGAGTACTACGCGAGACGAATTAGGATGTGTTGCGGGGAAATAGAGTACTTGCATGCACTGAGATCTGTTAATCGTTGCTGAAATACTCCGCGAATGATCTTTGAGCCAGAGTTCCTTGGCTACGCGAGTTTCCCTGCGTTCGATCTATACTCCATCATCTGCATCGAGAAGCTAGAGTGTATGGGTTGAAGATGACATGTAGGATGCGATTGCCAGTGGTGCATCGTGACCCGGATACCTATGCCATGAAAGAGTCACAGTGTTGGTGTGTGGATGAATTGCGGTGAGAAACAGCATGAACCTGAATGAGCAAATGTGATGTGATTACTCTCGACCATAAAAGGGAGATGGCGCTTCCAAGAAACGGATGAGGAGACTCCAAAGATGAACAGAAGTACAGTAAGGAGGGGGCACCAAGCGGGCGTGTGAGGGGATATTCCATCACGTGACATCGGTGCTTTGATTGACCGAGGCCGGCCAACTTCTGGTGCATGCAGGGCAGGTGGTCACATCATCATACAGCCTCCACCTCGTCGGGTTTATCGGATTGAAGGCCAATTGCTCAAGATGAGGACGCCATATACATGCAGACAATGTCTGTCGCTTGTGAAAAGTTCGCGAGTCCAATTAAGATCATGGCCAGCCTTCCGACCACTGGCGCAAAAAGTATCCTCGCAACGGAATCACTCCACCAAAGGTCCTGTGCAGCTCAAGCCCACAAACCCCCAACGCAATGTCTCGACAACAGCGACAAGAGCAGCCGCGAAGCCATTTCAGCCTTACGACTATATTGATCCTGAGGGAATCAAGCGGACCCTCATGTTGACCGAGGACAACCTCTTCAACTCCTTCACCAACTCGCCGATCCCCCAGATACGGAAACGAGCGGCCTTTATGCGCCAACATGCCTACTGCCCCCACCCTTCACACCAGCCTACACGTGCGCCCAAAAATGCCATGGATCTTGAGGCGCGCAAATCGTCCGAGACGGGCGCCCCGCCAGCCCACGTCAACTTCGAATGCCCCGATTGTGGTATCCCAGTCTACTGCTGCGAGGAGCACTGGGCGGACGATTATGAAGCACATCTCGAAGTCTGCGACGTGCTGCGGCAGAGCAATGAGGATGACCACGATTTGAGAAGCGGGAGATTCTTCAAGGAATTTCAATTCGCGGAGCCGCAGATGGAGGAGATTCTTGTCAACATGACTAGCTGGGACACATATCTCTACACACGAGACTTTGACGCGCTCAACAAGGATCGTGAGATGAGGCAGGCGACCAAGTTACTCACCTATCCCATGACCATTGCCAGCATCATCAATGAGTTGAGCCCCTATAACATCCGCAAAAACGGACGCATGACCCCAGAGGGCCTGAAGAGCTTTAGCGGTAAGCATTTCTCCATCCTCTGCTGGATTTTACTGGTTTCCAACCACTAACATGAGCAGCTCTCCGACATTCTCTCCACCCTCCACGGACTGGCGGTGGCGACACTTGGAAGAATGCCCGTATCGCACCCCCCTCCGTCCGCCTCTTCATCCTTGGCGCCCGCGCCGAGTCCTCTCTGCCCCGCGAAACCTGGATGCAACTCGCATACCTCTTTCATCGCGTACAATTCTCCCTTCACTTCATCGGCCCCGAAGCCATGGCAAACCGCGAAAAGGAGCTACCCCTACCTGAGCGCACACCCCTCAACCCCTTCGGCGCCGTCATCGAAGACCGCATCAACAGCGCCATGAAGATCACCACTTTCGTTGAACACTACCATAACATCCACAAAACGGGCTACTTCTATCCCTACGATCCTTACTTTGACTGCTTTGTTGCCTTCCACCCCGGTTTCGGCAATGCGGCGAGTATGCACGAATGGGAGGAGACGCTACCGCTTCTGCTAGAAACAAAGGTTCCTATCATTGCGACTGGCTATTCGCCATGGGATATGCAGCAGGACGTTGAGCACTTGAAGAATAGATTTGGGAATGAGATGGACATACTGCTTGAACCCGGCGAGAATCTCTTCAGGAGTTTGAGATGGGATCTCAACGACTTGGACCCGCATGATGTTACATGTAGTAACTGGGGTGTGTATGCCTTCCGCGGCAAGCGGTATGAGACGATGAAGAAAGAAGATGAAGCCGAGGTCCATAGCGATAGGACGGCTTGAGTGAAGTCGTGTATTATTATCCTCGTTGGCGTCATGTATGGCCATGTACGTACGCCCATGTACAAGAACAATGCATCCGATGATCAATTCTATGCCTAGCACATTGTCGTATACTCTTCGATTCCTGCGATAACGTGCCCAATCCGACAATTTTAGATCACGCATCAGCTGCCCAGCATTTGGAAGAAACGCCCTCATCGCTGATGCTCCGATTCAATTCGAGGACTAAGCTCTTGCACTACACTTTTTTTTTATCTTTTTGCCCTTGGAGGGAAGAAACGGATTTATTTACATTGGGACATTAGCACTAACATCTAAACATACAACACATTAGTTCTATATGTCCCATAGATCATCAATGCTCCAACATCTGGCTTGAATCTTCAGAGATTCCGCAATTAAGGCCAAGTCAGAATTGCCACTAGCTTGTCTCTCATTGGCAATGGGTTTGGCCGACGTACACAGCTACCCTATGCCAAACTCTGCAAAATCTGGGGGATCATAATCTTCTCGTTGAACGCCCAAATAGTAGGCGAGCTCTCCGACTCCCACGCCGCACCAGTCCAGAACGTGTTGAGCTGGCCCTGCAGACCGTATAAGTCCTTGTAGAAGCCTCTGGCAATAGCCTCTCGCGAAGGATGCATAAAGTAAGGGGAATTGTGCACAAGGCCATTAATGGTCGGACGTTCTCCCTCGGGTGACTGGGCGCCCTGTAATCCTTGGACGAAATAGGCTGTTCGCAAGAGGTTGCTGGTTGCCTTTTCGGCGGAGATCTCGTCCGGGGTCGTCCACCAGAAGGCGCGAGCTTCGCGGTCGCGGAAGCCAGATTGCGAGATACCGATTGCCTCTGGGACCATGGGGATACCGCCTGTACGGGTGAGATCGACGAGTTGGTAGCCAGTGTCGATGGGAAGGCCGGTACCGTTCAGAATGCAGGTGTAGGAGTGGATGTGGGAAAATTCACTGAAGATGCGCTCTTCGTTTGGCCGGAGATCGAGGAATTGCTTCAAGTCGGAGTTACGGGGGCGAATTGCAATAATGACTTTCTTTGCGCGGAAGGTCTGCGTGCCGCAGGGCCTTTGGACAATGGCCTCGACACCATTCTCGCTTCGGGTAAGGCTCTGGATGTTACTCTCGAGGAAGACGTTCTCGCCTCCGCCTAGCTTGCTGTAAGCTAGGTTGTAGAGAGCCTGGTTGCCACGGTTCTGGATGTACAGCGATCCAGTAGTGTACTCATTCTGACTGTGATATTTCATGACATTGAGCGTTGTCATATCGAGGACAATTCCGGCGTGGAGGTAGTAGACGTTGTATGCCATGGCCTCCGCGTGGTACTTCTTCACCCACTCTCCGAAAGGTAGCAGGAGGTCTTCTGGGATCGGATCCGGCATGTCAAAGCCAGGTCCGGCGAACAGATTACCATAGGTTTGCATCTGTTTGAGGTAAATTTGCTCAGCCTCAGTAACATTTGCTCCAGGCACAGGACCCGAGACTTCGTTTCCATTTGTATAGTCCAAGTATTTTGTTTTGCCACCTTCGTAGAATCCTTTGAATTCCCCCATACTTGCCCCCAGCTGGTTGGTCAAGTAGTTGTATGACGTAGTAGTATTCTTGAACACGACGACACCATAGTCCATCGTTTTATTAGTACTCGGATCAGTGTATGTCGCCACATATCCGCCCAACTCATCCTGTTTTTCGAGGATAGCAAAACTCTTTCCAGCCTCCATCAATTGCACCGCCGCATGCCTGAGGTTTTTTAGTGTTGTGGTCACGAATGAAATCACAATTTGGTTACTTACGTTCCACTGGAACCACCACCGATGACAAGAACATCACGTTCAATAACAGAGCCACAGCTACTGTTTGAGACTTGCGCATTGACGGTCCATGGTTGTAGCAAGAGAGTGGAGACAGCCCATGTGAGAAGGTTAGGCTTCGTACTTGACGGCATTTTCGCAATTTTTGTAAGAGCCAGTGTTTTGAAGCTGAACAGAGACGACTAAGCGGTCGATGCGATGAATGAACAGATGGGGTGGTAAAGACATGTTAAGTACTTGAGGTAAAGCATCTCTGGTACCGTATAACTTGGTGATAGACAGTTAACCCCAAAGAAGCTTGGGACATCTTGGACCAATTGTAAGCTGTAACTGAATATGATAACGGGAGCACCCGCAGTTACTGTTTTGGACTACGGATTTGTAAGTCCATAGAAGTGGAGTCTGCCTCATGTTACGACCGTAACCAGCAGTTACTTGCTACCTAAGGGCTTAGGATTTGTAAGGGCCTGAGAGTGTACCTGAGATTACGGGAGCAGCCGTTGTTGCTGTAGTCGGATTTGTAAGGTCTGAAATCGGCCCTTCTCATGGCCCAAGCACTCCATTGTGAATTCATACAGCATTTGCAGTCGTATAGTGTCATCTGGCTCAATTTGCCAAGGAGAGAAGATTCAGCTGGAAGAGTCAAAACGATTTTGCAAAAAAATCTTCAGAAGACTTCGGTTTCAGGAGCTAGTTCCTTGAGGAATGCCAGAACCGCACAATGCAACTCCATTCACCTAATCTAAGGATTTGGGTCAAGGAACATAAACATTTACGGTACATGACTATTTTCCCAAATGATTAGGTGTCAATGGAAGATACTGCAATAGAATAGATTCTTGGCAAAGCCTTCACCTTCGTGCATAATCCTACGCGCATTTCACTCACTTGTGTCTTTCCCTGGAATCTTAGCTAATGTCTGCGTGCCCTAAGAGATTTCTTGTAGAAAGTTCCAGCACTGAGTCAGCGGTGAGAAGGGATTAGAGGATTTAAAGTTAAAGTTGTTGAGATAGTAAACACCAAGGCTACTCGTGCAATGAAAAAGCAATAGACGAACTGGCATAGGTCTAGGTACCCATGAGCTTGAGCTTGCCTCTTTGCGATTCAAGAATCACTAGTGGTCTGTCGTTAGTCAGCACTACAAGGCTCATTCTTTGACAGTGGCCTTGATGATTAAGTGCATGCGGCAAAAAAATCGCGATTCAGTGATGCATATCTGCCCCAGGAATTGTGTATCGAAGGATGGAGACTTCGACGCTAGTAGTATGTAACTCTACGCTAAAGTGAGGGGATCGCTTGCTGTGGTCCAACGGGTAGATGATCATCCTAGTTCGGCCCTACATTAACGTGATCCACCACCGAGCGCCCACCCCCACCGAGCGCCCACCCCCACCGAGCGCCCACCAACACCAAAATCCACCACCCACTAAATAAGGATATTGCGCCACCTACAATAGCTATTATTACAAGATTTCTTAGAGTTGCGATTATTAGATCTATTAAAGTAGATTAAATATTTTAGATTATATAAGCAGCTTTTTAGGGGGTCTAATTAGGCGCCCACGCTGTAAAGTTGCCTCTACTACTATATCCTCTTCTACTAGCTCCTTATTAACTACCTTAGCTAGTATAATAGTAGGAGGCTTAAGGATTTACCTCTTACCTATTTAGGATATTTTAATATTATTTTAGAGTTACTTTTCTAGTTACTTAGTAGTTTTCTACTTATTATATATAGTAGCTTTTTAGGTAGCTTTCTCCTTCTACTCCTTCTTAGTAATTACTTAATTTAGGTAACACTCCTTTATAAGTTAAGCTTTAGTAAGCTTCTATTACTTATAAAGCTTAATTACCTTACTTTTTTAGTATTATAGCTCCTATTCTTTAAGGTTCTTTTACTCTTAAAGCTTAAACACTTACTTTACCTTTAATAGTAAAATAAATTAGGCACTACTACTATAATTATTATTAGGGGGTAATAATAGAGGTTTACTACGCTTCCTACGCTTCTTCTTATTAGCTAGGGTAGCCCTTAGGTGTTTATTTTTATAGTTAAGTAGAGTATTTCTTACTAATATAGTATAGATTATCTAGCTAAGCTTCTTTAACTATTTATTATAGATATTAATTATAGTATTATAGAGTAACTACTCTATCTTTCTCTAATTACTTATACTTAATATTAAGGTTATACTATTACTTAAAGAAGGCTAGTTACTATTATTTATAGGTGCTTTAAACCTTAAAAGGATAATATTAGGGTTAAGTAGTAAGATACCTATTACTTTAAAAGCTATTAATATTAGCTTTTCCTTAAAGGTATTACTTTATATAGTATTAAATAACTAGTAGAAATCCCTCTTAGTAATACTTATAAGCCCTTAGAAGCTATTTAGAAAACTAGATAGTTAAGCTTTATATAAAGCTATAAAGGGAGCAAATACTATAATATTAAGTAGCTAAAGGGTATAAGTGCTATAAGGGAGATATATTATAAGTAGGATCTTATATTTATTATAGTATTTAATAAACTCTATTATTATATAAGATCTATAGCTATTAAGGATAAGGAGCTAGTATAAAGTATAAGCTTTAGCTTTTGTCTTATAATTAAACACCTCCTTAAGCTAGGATACCCCTAGGGTGTAGCTTATCTACCTACTTAGTAATCCTATAAAGAAAGCTTAGTATTATAATAGGTTAAAATCTTATAACTAGGTATCCTATAAAGCTCTAGATTAGGACTAATAAATAAGGGTAAGAGTAAGAGTAGTACTATTAGCGCATATACAAGCTATAGTAGTAATCCACTCCCTATTACTATTCTAGAGTATAGCTCTAATCTTTCTCTACTTATAGGTGCTCTTATTAAATATATATTTAGTTTTTAATAGTACTCTAATAAGAAAACCCTTCTTATCTATATTATAGATATACTAACTCTTAATATTATATTACTTTATTTTTTAGTATAAAAGCTTAAAGTATAAGCTATACTTAAAGGTAGAATTAGCTTTAAAGTAGTTATAATTAAGCCTAGTAGCCTAATAGGAGATAAGATTAATATTATAGTAGTTAATAAAGCGCTATACCTAATTTTTACCTACTAGATTCCCTATTATTTTAGTTATAAAATTTTAAATAATAGTCTATATAGGGGGTAATCCTTACTTATAAAGCTCTTTAATATACTTTATAAGCTTACTTTCTTATATAGTATTAAGTATTTAACTATTTAGTAGAGTAGTAGTATATACTTACTAAATTTTCTAGTAGTGTCTAGATAAGGTTAACTATAAGTAACTATACTTTTCTACTATTTCTAAGTATATAAAATCTTCTCTAAGAGTTAAGGATTTAATTACTGCAAGCGCGTTATTAATAGGTGCTATAGTTGTTAAGAAATTTAGTGTTGAAAATTTGGTGATTTTGGTGTTGGTGGGCGCTCGGTGGGGGTGGGCGCTCGGTGGTGGATCACGTTAATGGGTCAAAACATTGAGAAGTTCCTTTCTTTGATATGTAAAAGACGTAAATCGTAACATAAAACTATGCGCTCTGTTGCAAAGAATACAAAGAAGCTCCTTTTGTACTCTTTTCAAATTACATATTTATCGAGCTTATGGAGGGTGAACTGCTGGGGTGGGAATCACTTGAGCACGGGCCTGTGTCTGGGTACTCGGCAAATTAGGTGAAACTAGGGTATATGTACGTACTGTGTGTATGTTATATGATCACATGTGCCACAAAAGACATGGTAATCCGATCAAATGCTTGGCCAGCTCACATCGCTCACCGACGGACGAAATTTGCATGAACTTTTGTCCTGTGACCTCAAAGCACTGTTGAGGCAAAGCAACCAACCCTATGCAACTTGTATAGAGTCGCCCTTACTGGTATTGTAGTGAAGGTACGGACGTTCATTTAGGCGCTTTTTCGGATACGCGCGTAGTCACACTTTCCAGTGAAGCTTTGCAAAGGTCAGGCATGCGCCGCACGTCAAGCTGCATGCTTGCTAGTTCCCGTACCATTATATCGTGAAAACTCCAAGGTTCAGCCCCCGACATCTAAGCTCAACCACCATGTGTTAAATCGTGTGCTTAGTAGCCTCTTTGAAAGTGCACATGAAGGATTTGAACTTTGTTGATTAAAAAATGAAATGGTGTTTCGAACTTTCGTTCGGTGATTAGAAAATTGACATATCGGTAAACGTGAATGCTAAGCCGCTTAAGCCTGGTCGGAGATTCAAGCTTGTGGTAGCTAGGTAGGCACTGTACCATTCCTCCGAAGTGCATCAACATTCTCTTGGCTATTTATTACATATCCCCACCCTGCCACAAAAGCTCTAAAACAAAAGGTTTCAGTCAGCAAAGTTATACTCCTTTGTATGCCCTTCCAAATAGGCTGCTGAGCACCAGATTCTAGCTTTAGCTATTGGGGATTGAATTGTGAGCGTCATTTCTCAAGTCTTCGAAATTCGAAAATTAAATTTGGGTTCTGACTGATTTCCATGGGTAATCGTCACCCGCACATTGGTCCGATCGAGTTCGGTGTGATACGGGAACTAGCAGGCGCACGACCTGTACAGTACCTCGTCCACCGACTCATGATATGGGGGGCTAGGGGGGATGGATCAGCTATGGTTTGACCAATGATCAATCTTGCCGGTACATATAAACGCTAAGGAAGTCCGAAGTCTTACATAAGTACGACGCGCACCATATTATGTACTGTGTAAGCAATCGTGAACTCTATTGTCTGCCCTTCACCCTGTCTAGTGATCACAAACTTTCCCCATACATGACCCTTGACCACGGACGTGGCTTGCAATAGATTATGGTATTCTTCACCCCACACTTTCCCCCATACGTAAGACAAGGGTGTGTCCATCAGGTCAGAATAACGATAACAGATCAGAGCAGAGCCGAAAATAGCCATATCTGCCGATCTCTATCTCCTGATCAATTTCCGGACCAGTATATTCGGGCATCTCACATCCAAGGACCTGTGTACAAGCACTTCATGGAGACAACCTAACCTGATCTTGTCTTCTTGGTACGTGAAACGCGCAACTACCTGCTCGCATCATAAAAAAATGAACATATTGTCGTCTTTTCGAACCCCCCGGTCTAGCGCAAGTGTAAGCACGAGTCGACCGCAGATCGAAAAGCTGTAGACACAATCACTTTCGATAACAGCATCATGGCGCTCTATGCTACAGCTTCTCCCGAAAAAGGTCGAATCGTTGCCGTGTCAGAAATGCAGACGGTAGTGAGGTATCAAGGTGCCATTGGGGAGATGATACAAATTCCTTTCTTGGTTGGCAGTTTGAATACACCATAGCAATAGAGTAATTGCTTCAAATGTGCTTCAATGTAGGTATTGCTAGCCCAAACAATCTCGTATTTGTCGGAGGATTGGTCGGCCTTGTTAGCGCCCTTGAAAAAGCACACTAGATAGGTTCCGACCGACGATATTGGATTTTAGAAAGCAGAGTCACGGAACAGCACCATGAATCATCCACTATACAAATCAATGCATCAATTGATAGATGATTTTGTCAGCATTGCCTTATCGTGAAGAATGCCTTCTTCCAGTGAGCCTCTGCAACCACCCTTCGTGAAGTGGTACATGAGCCGAATACCCACTTAGATCAGATCGAAGAACTTGTGGCCTAACCATTGCTAATGAAATCCCGTTTATGACGCATACTCCCGAAACTGTCCCTTCGTTGGGCCTTGGTGGATGCTCTGGAAGCGGAAAATATTGATATCTATTGCGGGGCTGAAATGTTTTGATAATACTAGCTAAATGAAGCGGGTGTTAGAAGGCTTACAGATGCAAACGCTTATCGAGATAGTCTTGTAATGCTGTGTGTCTTATCGTTAATCAGATGTCCTGGTACATCCAACTCCGCGCGAGAAATAGATGACGACTAAAAAAAGACAGAATGCGGCTCTTAATTTGTCTGCAAGTGTGCCCTATGGAGCTGATCGGTCAACGAACGGCATCACGGGTAGGGTATGGGATACGGCCGTAACTGACAAGATGTTTATTTGGTTAAGTCAGCCGTGGGGGTGCAAAATGTTCTCTTCGATGGCTTCAACCCCTGCAGGACCATGAGCAGTTCTAGACTTGTGCGATGAAAGCTGAAGGGGACAGGGGCTTGTTAGAAGTGACACCATCCCAAGCTGCAGATGTTGCACGTCCTGTCTCGCTAACGACTGCAAAAATCAAAAGTCCAAGATGGTCCATCTATCACTTGTTACTTGCACGTGCCGATCGAAATTTACAGCATTGTTTACTTGCCAGACAGCTCAAGCCCATCTTATTCTGTACATTAACCAGGTCACAGCTACGGAGCCCACCGGAATGAGGCATACAAGGAAGCAATGTCAACTTCCTCTCCAGGAAATTCAAAGGGAATTCTGAGTTGATCAGTAATATGTGCATGATTCCAACTGATCTTGAACTGCAGATACTCACCTTTCCGATTGCCAGTTGAAAGTCCGGCTTTTGCCGTTGTCGGCTGACATGAAGGACTACATCTTGTCCCTAAAGAAGCATCATCCTAACAGTGAGTACTACACACTCCATGCCCTCGCGTATTGATATCCACGAGGTGATACAAATATTGTCTTTGTGTCATTGAGAAGCTGGAATTAAAAGAACCCCAATCTTGAGTCCGAGCCAAATTTGTGTCATGATCAATCGACCTTTTTGGGTAACTCGATGTTGAAATCTGGTCCTAAGCTTTTCCTTCTCCATGCTGCGCAATATCAGGATCTGAATATCCATATCGCAACATTGGTTTTCGAAAGATTCGGACTGGCTTGCGAATTCAATCACTACAGTACAAAACCGGTTTACAGTAGCCATATTTATCTAAAGTAGACTAAGAAGTGGTTTAGGTAGAAGAAGTAAACCTAAATAGGGTTTACTATACTATGTATTTTACTTTTATTTCTACTTCTAGTAATCTACTAGTATTACGTAGTAATAACTAGTTTCCTACTAACTGTTTAAGTATTTTACCCCTCCTTTCTTTAATCTTCTTCGCCACCTCCACCTCCACCACCTCTATCACCACCTCCTATTAGTAAAAATATCATGACTTAATATTATATCATATGTGCGTATAGCATAAAGCTAATCTTCTCTACCCCTTTTAGTCTTAGTTAGGTATTATAACGTATAATAGAAATAAAACTACTTTTTATACTTAATTTAAGCCCCTACTATAAAAGTAAACTACTACTTTAATAAAAGTAAAGTACTACTTTAAACTAATTTACAGGTATATATAAGGGCAGTTTACACCTATATAGTAAACCCTTAGCGTACCATTCTACAGTAAACAATTTTTTACCGTAGTGAATAAGGATGAAGATTTATCGTCAAGTCATAGAGAACTGCAGGATGAATTTGTTTCGATAAGAACTTAGACTTTACCATACTCACGAGGCTATCGTCCGTTGGGCGCATTAGCATCATGTCTATCGTGGAGTGCCCAGTCTTGAAGACAATGAGCCAGTCTTGCTAGTCATGAGTGATACCGATCAGGTGGTGCACGGCTTTGCGCAGATGAATGGAGTGAAGGCTGTCCTCTATTTTAACCGTCAGTATAGGACCAATGATGTCACATGTCAGGTATATGTGAAGTATGTTGGGGGGCAATACCGGTATCGACCCTAGTCGAAGCTAGCCGAAAGTGGGTCGTGCAACTACCTCGATAGCGACACATGGCTGTGGACATCAGCAACCGACCTCCAATCTTTCAATTACTCAGGATGTCGCAAGACTTGGGACAATCATACTTGAATAATGGTATGTCATGCCGATCTTTACATCACCATCTCCAATTGACACAAGCGCGCCAGGGCTCAACTTTACGCCGACGATCCACCACGACACTTATCCGTATATCGATCCTGCAAGATCAGATCTGAGTGGAAAATATGTCTTCATCACCGGTGCCTCAAAGGGTGTCGGTAAAGTGATAGCACTCAGCTATGCCAAGGCCGGTGCGGCAGGAATCGCCCTAGGCGCACGCTCTCCTCTGGGACCAGTTGTGGACGAAATCATCGAAGCAGCCAGATCGGCGGGTAGGGAAGAGCCACGTGTCGTTACCCTTCGACTAGATGTGACAGATCGCGCGAGTGTGGAGTCTGCGGCAAGAGACGTCTCTGAAATCTTCGATGGTCGTTTGGATGTCCTCATCAACAACGCAGGATACCTCTCGCCATTTGCAGGTATACCAGATACGGACCCAGACGATTGGTGGCGCGACTGGGAAGTCAATGTCAAGGGTGTCTACCTGGTTACTCGCTCCTTCTGGCCTTTACTGCTGAAGTCTACTCTGAGGATTATTATCAACGTCACTTCAATGGGCGCACTCATGACGCCAGCCCATGGGACCGCATACGGCGGTGCAAAACTGGCTGGAATGCATTTCACAGAGCATGTCAACAAGGACCATGGGGCTGGAAAGGACAGCATGCTTGTCATTGCTGTACATCCGGGGGCGGTCAAGACTGAGCTTGCTCTAGGGCTTCCAGAAGACTATCATGAGATTCTCAACGACGAACCGGCACTCGCTGGCGATACTATGGTATGGCTGACGAGGGGGCGAAGAGAATGGCTAGGTGGAAGGTACATCAGCGCAAACTGGGACATGGAACAGCTGAGTGGAAAGAGAGAAGAAATTGAAAAAGGCGAGCTACTCAAACTCCGATTAGCAGTCAATACCTTTCCAACACCTTGATGACGATCAAAAGCTCATTTGTAGGCAGATCTGCCCTAGTAAATGTCATCGATCTCACGACACTTGAGCTTTCTTATTCGGCCACTCTCCCATATGCTTCATGTACTATTTGCTCGAGCTGATACTTGAATGGCTTGATCATGCTTCGATTTATGGCTTTTGGTGTTGGTTCAGCTGGCGCCTGTCTCCGATACATGCCGGTGTCACTGCGACAACGCTATTCCTGAAATGGCTTAGTTGACGCTGTCCAATCCGCACAACATTCCTTTCCGCGGGTCTCCTCCCTCTACGCAATCATACACAACCATCTCGACAAGCCAGGACTTTGGTTGTATTCCAGTGTGGAATGAGAATGTCTATCACCGTTGCATAGACTCGTCTCCACTGCAATCTCAGCACCCCTACACCCTCTTCTATTCAAACTCACATTGCAGCACTCATGATCGCCGTCACAGAGAAAGCTTCCAATGTATGCGCGTATTGCCGAGTGAGGAAGCAAAGATGTGACCGCAATCTACCACGATGTCAGAGATGTGCTGCGTAAGCGTCATGGGCTACAGCAAAGACCTGTAGACTAATGCGCTTTTAGCAAAGGTCGGCACTGCGACTACACGCCGTACAGAGAACCTGCACGACAAGAGTACCGGGAGCCTGAGACATTGATATTGCACTCTGATACCTGTTTCCACACAGAGATTTCGCAACGCGGCTCGACCGAGCTGCTGCATACCGTCATGGCATGTCGGGAAGGTCCGCTTATTTCTACTGCCAATCCGAAACTGTCTGCACTTGTTTACGAGATCCTGGACCATGCTGACGTCGACATGGCTGTTGTGTTGGCCGAGTTTGGACCCTGTATTTCCCAGTGGTGTCCCATTATTCCGCAGGACCTTCTTGACCGTTGTGCAAACGATTTGGTTATGCAGACCCCACGTCCTGAGAGGGTGAACTACCCTTTAATCCTGCTGTGTTTGTGGCTAGTCACGAGACGCACTTGCGGGAATACTGATCACATCAGGAAGTGTGAGCTGTATCGCACCTTGAAGTTGCTGCTTGCGGTCTTGCAAAGTAGGCCAGAGTTGGAGTTGGGGGGCGTGCAAGTTGGCATGCTGATTGCCGTGTACGAGGTTGGCCATGGTATGCAGAGGCAAGCAGTCCAGACAATAGCAAGCTGCGCATCACTGCTCAAGCTTCTTGAATCTGATGCGAGAAAGAACAATATCGAAGAGGCCATTGCATTGACGGAGTGGCTCCAAGTGAGTATGCTCATGTTGGATCGGTACGTTGCACTCCGAATAAGGTAGTGCTGAGCTAAGTCGTGGCAGTCTCATCTCACTGTCGATGTTGTCGGATCCCGTCTCTCTTATTTTGCATTCTACCAACCCCACTTGCAAGGCCATCGCCGGTAGGCTGATTCCAGGAATGCCAGCACCCTCTCCCCAGGAGACTCCCATCTCACCGCGCAAGGTGCATATCCGAGCCGCTGTCGCGTTAGCCGCCGGGCCTGTCCTGGAATATGTTTATGCACGTCAGCACGGACTTGAACCTGAGCAGTCTTACGATCAAATTGACGACATTATAGCAGACTGTATCAAGGTACTTGTCGACAAACCACAGCCGCACACCTGGCTACACTGCGATGCGATAGCCATGGCCTTTCTCTCTCACATCCTCCTGCAACAAACACAGATGACGCATCTCTCGGACAACATGGTTCACTTTACTGTCCCAGGACCAGACTACACAAAAGCCCATCTCGCGCTCAAGTATTCGCGTCGAATGTCGTGGGACATGGTACGCATCGCCATTCAAAAGATTCAATCCCAGGAGGAGATCCAACGTCTTCCCTTCGCCGGGCTCTGCTGTGTCCTTCGTGCCGGAATCGCCGTCCTGGAGACATCAGAGTTCATGGCCGAGGAAGTGATGGAGCCCGAGGAAATCGTCGAATTCATGAAAATCATGGATTGGTTCGATGTGCGGTGGAGTATTGGACGAGAGTATGCCAGAAAAGCAGAAGAAGCTCTCTGCCGCGTCTAATGTCTTTTGAATATCCTCGGACGACAAGACATGGGGTTCATTATGACTATATATACGATGCTGAGAGAATGAGACTACTTCCAAGAACCTAGAATGCGCTCCACGGCCCTCTCCGCGGCAATCATGATTCCCATGACTGGGTTCGTAGTCAGCGGCGGCACGATACTGGCATCGACCACGAAGAGATTATCCATGCCGATGACCTTTGTATCCAGATCCACACAAGACCCGAGCCTACAACTGCTGCTCCAATGCTGGACATTGCCCAGCGTGTACTTGCTTGGCGAGCTAACCCACGTCGTCAACTCGTCAACAGTGGAATTCCTCGCGACATTGAGCGGGTTCAAAGTCGGGGGCAGGGCTTGAAAAATGTTGTGGATGAAAGTGCCTACGGCCACGGCGTCGAGCCTGTTAGTGTAGGGTACAAGAGTTGGCAATGCGACACCTTTCGCGTCCACACCCACACGGCCCAAGGAGCGGAAACCAGATGTGCCGTAGACGTTGAGAGTAATGGTGCCGTTGTCCAGGTGATCTTTTGATCCCGATGAGTCAATGGTACCTTGGCAGCCTACAAGCTCGTCGCCCTGTTGGATAAAGTCCCAGAATGCACTTGTCTGGGATGCGAATGTGTAAGGGCCAGAGCGAGAGTTGAGATACAAGTCGCGAGCGTCGGGTGTGGGGTCGGCGTATTTGTATTCAAAGGAAGAGATGGTGTCAGCCTTGAGCTGGATGAATGTGTTGGGGTTGTCGAACACTTTGTCGCCCACGGCTGTGTTGTTGATCCAGTCTTGCGGGGAGACTGCGAGATGACCGCTGGTGGTGAGGTTGGCCAAGACTTCCGGGTCGCCAATGCCAGACCACATGAGAAGTTGAGGGCTGAGGAGAGGGCCGCCAGAGAGGATGATTTTCCCGCCCTGTTTGATGCAGATGTTTGTGTTTTCCCCACTGGTCGATTGCGTCTCGACACCAGTCGCACACTCGCCGTTGCGTATGACACGTACGACTTTGGTACCGGTGCGGAAAGCAAAGTTTGGTCGTTGAAGCGCAGCCTGGAGATATGTCTTGGCCGGCCCACTCCTCTGTCCGCCTTCATAGTTGAAGATTGTATGGCCAAAGACTTTGCTCTTGCTATGCTTCTCCGGGCCATCGTTCAATCCAACGTTTGCATATCCCGCACCGTCCACCAGCCATTGTTTGGCAGCCTCGTATCCACTCTGGAGATACCGTATCCCATCCTGCGACGGATTGTCCGTGCTAGGCTGCATCGCCCGTACTTTCTGGATTGCACTCTGCATATCGTCATTTTTCCAGCCGGCAGGAAAGTACCGGTCCCAATCACTGGCGGGCGGCTGGAAGAACAAGCCCGCGTTTATCGCCGTATTACCGCCAACGGTACAGCCCTGGAAAGCATTGACTACACCGGGTCCGCATGTGAGAGTGCCGCCCTCCGGCGTCGAGAAGATGGACTTGTAGAGGCCGGGGACATCGACACGACTGAGTTCTGTGCCGTTGAGCCAGTCTGGCCGCGCGCGTCCTCCGGTGACGTAGTATGATGGCCCGCCCTGCTCGAGTAGCAGCGTCTTCTTTCCAGCTTCACTCATGCGGTCGGCTACCACGATACCTGCTGGCCCAGAACCTGTGTCTAGTTAGCAATCTGTTGCGAGCAACTCCAGCAAAAATGCAACCTACCAACGACCATAACATCCCATTCACCACCATCGCACAACGCAGCTGCAGTGGCAACCACAACACTCAACAGCGCAACAGCGCGCACCGGAGACCCCATCATGATATCCAAGAAGTAGAAAGATGAGCAAAAATCTCACCTCAAACAGTCCTTGAAAAAGCCAGCAGACTTTCAGCCCAAAATCAACGACGACGCTCCCTTATTTAATCCCCAACCCTCCATCACAGACACCCATTCCTCTACCCGAACACGACCCACGCACAATAGTGACCCCCCTCAGCCCCCGTGCAACCACCCAACCCGTACAGCGTCTCCACCACGAAAATCCCACACCCGCAATGACGACCTGCGTACGCTGCGTACCCGTACCGCACAAGTGGTTTAACTCTGGACGCGCACGAGCTCCGCTTTTATTTTCCGTATCGCCGAGCTAAGCACCGCCCTACCAGTGTATACAATAGTACAGGTAGCCACCCCACCGGCGAAAAAGCTTCATCTGGCGCTAATCGCAGAGCACGCCGTGCTGTACGGTACGATGGCCATGGCTAGGTGCACTATTTTTGTCCATGTGGATGCGCGATTGGAGGTCGGCATCGGGGAGTAGGGGAGACCGGAGGCTAGGGGAGGATTTGCCGGTTGGGTCCGGTGTTGGGATGGGAGGGCGTGGAATTGGGAAATGGGGATCGTCGGCAGTGACACGAGGGGAGGGGAGGGGTGGATGTTGTGTAAGTTGAGGTTTGGCTGTGGTATGGAAGTATGACGGTAACTACTGCATCCAGTCTGGTAGGCAATTGGCGTTTCCACTCGCCACGCTACGGTACCTACCTGTGTTTAGACGATTCCGCATTTGTACTTGTACGCTGGGACTTCCTACTTCCTACTTCTTACCTCCTAGGTGCAACCTACGACCCGACGAGACAATCCTTGCACTTGCGCGGGGTGTAGGAGTAAGAAGAGAAACCACATCGCCATAAGATTTCAGCAACAGTACTGGTACCCGTACCGTCATCGTACCGGTACTTGTCGCAGCGGCAACTCCTCGCAACGCCATACCGCGCCATTCACGCAGGAAAACGTACACCGGTACGAGGTAGATCCGTACATTTCTCATCCTTTCACACCCTATGCAGCGGTATCGTGGTGTAGGACGCGAGTCTGTGGGACATGCATGTGTGGTATGAATAAGCAGCGTGCCCGTACCATCCATGTATATATTTCCAGTGTAAAATTTGTCAAGAGGGCGACGCAAGTTGGAGGGGGAGTAGTGCGAGAGGCTGGTAGTAGTAGGAGAGGATAGATAAACACGATGAGATATCACCGTCATTTCTGCCCCTGGTCGCGTGAAAGCAAGATGGCTGGAGACGAGCAGGAGGGGTTGTTTCTTTGGAATCTGGGGTTTGTTTCGTGTGGGTACGGTACGGTACGGTACGGTACGGTAGAACAAGATATTGTGTGTAGGACCGTACCGTACATAGACTAGGGCCGTGGTAGCACAAGTAGAAGATGATACAACGGTACTACTACTCTCCATTCTACAACATAGTAACCGTGTCCACTATAAATCGCGCGCATTATTATACACCGCGGGCGTTACTCCTAGATGTATCGCACACAGGACAAGGATTGCGCATGCTGTCTATTACACATCACGTGTCAGGTGTAGCACATGTTTACCTCGCTCATGCATCCGTCCACGTGTTCCCGACACCCACGCCCAGACGTCCATGTCCCCATCCAGCCCTCCACCCGCGAAACCCGCAGAGAAGAGCACGGGAGGAAGAAGAAAAAGACACCAGGACAAAAGATAAAGAGAGTAAAACCTACTACACTATACTATAGTATATTATAGTATATAAAACTATAACGCCTATATTAAAACTTATATCTATTAGTTCCCTAGTTAACCCTCCCCCCCCCCCAAAAAAATTACCCCACCTCAGAACCTCACCCCCTCATCTAGCATACGGCGTCATCTCCGGAAACAACCTCAAACAGCCCTGCACAACCCGCTCCTGCATCAGCAATTTCTCCCGCACCAACGCCTCGACAAAACACAACATTGCCTGATTCGCACGCGCCGTAGGCGCAGGCGCAATCCCGCGCGCACCCGCACCCCGCACCCCTTCCTTGCCATGCGTGCGCGCAACCTCGACGACGACGGGGAGGTCTGAAAAGTCAAAGATTGCCGAGTTGGCAAGGTCGAATTCGGTGGCGATGCCCGTGAGTTGGGGCCAGAGGCGGGGCCAGGCGAAGTCGTCGGCGCGGGTGTAGTCGGAGCGGCCGAAGAAGTAGGTGGTTGCCATTGTGAACATGTCGTCGTAGGAGCTGTAGCCTGGTGGGGAGCCCGAGAGGTTGATGCTGAAGCGGGTGCGGTTGGTCGTCAGGGAGAGGGTGGTTGCGATGGTGCCGCCGAAGCCGTGGCCGATGGCGGCGAAGTATTGCGTGTCGAGGGAGGAGTTGAAGGTAAGGGTGGGGTAGAAGGACTGGAGGTCCATGGCGGCGAGACGACGGAGAGCAAATTGGATGTCGGCGATGCGGGTGTCCAACGCATCGACGACGGTCTTGTTCCAGGCAGTCAGTGGGGCGAGGTTGGACAGGGGGACGGTGCCGTTGTTGTAGATTGTTGGCAGGCTGCCTTTGCCGTCGAACTCGGTGATGCGGCTGTCGCCCGGGTGGTCAAGCAGGATGACTACGACGCCGTTTGCGCTGATGAAACGCGCCATGTTGACGTAGAGGAGACGGCTGGTATCCACCTGCGGTTCGAGGACCACAACCTTGAGCTTGGAGGCGTCAATGGTGCTGTTCTTGTTGCCACAGCAGGCATTATACTCCATCGTTCCAAAGACGGGACCCGTAGTATTTAGAATGAACTGTTCGTCTGAAGCGCGCGCCGTCTTGCCAGGCATGTAAATGTTCCTGCATTCCGAGGCACAGGCATCTCGAGCAACGGGCATGAACAGGGTGGCCATGATGGTGCGAGCCGGAGTGCCGCTGGCATATGAGGGCCTGGGCGTATTGTCCGTAAGAGAAAAGTGCGATACAGCGACCTTGAAGGGGTGGTCATTGCCTGGATCGGGAAGCAGAGTCCCATATCCAGGTTGGCCAAACGCAATGGTCGTGGCCACCGCGAGCAAAGAAAGTGCCAAAACCATGATCAAGGCCACAGGCAGAGGGAGTCTGTAGGAGGAACTTGTTTTGGAAGTAGAGCGCGACGGTGGGAGTAGAGGGAAGTTTGCAGCCTCGCAGGCGGGCAGGTTCGTGATATAGGGGGTGAGATGCACGGATCATGTAAGATGTGAATAGCATCGCCGTAGAAATGGAGAGTTTTGTCGCAAAAGGCCGAGAGTCAGGGAAGTAGCCTGGTGATTTGCCTTGGGGTCATTGCCGCGTGTCGTTTGTCCCATCAACCCACGTGCCTCTATGTGATGACGCTTGCGAATGATGGTGCCGACTGACTGGATAGTCGGTGAAAGGCGCGACTGCAAAGCCACGATCGCAAGTCTTTGTAAATCATGTCGACATGCGCAGCCGTGCCTGTTTGAACATTAACAGGTGCCAATTCCAGAAGTTCAGCCAAGCACCACTTTTAAACGTTCATCTCCGCAGAGCCTCACCATCACCATCACCCTCACGCCCAAAAAAGCTTCGCCAAGCAAGCACAAGAACCAGACTGCAAGAAGAAAAACCAAACAACCCCATTACCTACCCACTCGTTCAAAAATAATTCGCCCCCGCTACTAAAAGAAATGCAAACACTTTTAACTTGCTCTATAAAAAACACCCAGATGAACAATAATCCGACTATACCGCCATTCATCCAAGCAGAACAGTACCCAACTGCGCAAATCCGCCAGTGCCAAAAGGGGAGAGATTGATCTTCATTGCGTCATAAACAGAGACGAGAGAGGGTATAAGCGATGTTGATCTTGTAAGAAAACGAAAAAGAGGCCGCGAAGACGAAAAACTTCAAGGCGCAGAGAGTGTTGAGAAGGAGAAGCCAGGCCGAGAAGGGAGGTAAGCCCCGAGGAGGATGAAGAGGTAACAAGATCGACATGGCGAGTGAGTTGTGCCGAGGAGAGTGTGTCAGAACCGGGCTTGGCGTGTCATGATGAGAGATGAGAATTGACAGGCCAACAAGGTAGACTCACTCGTGCGAGAGGCAAAGGCAAAGGGACAGGTATGCAGACAGATAGTCCCTCGTCGCGCACCCTCAAGTCTACCCGTCCGCCGACGAAACAGACAGCCTCTTGCGCTTCTCCACCGGTAACCGCTTCCACATGCCAACATGCTCAATCCCCTCCTCCACCCAATGCGGCTCCGGCGAGACCTCGGGCTCACCCTCTTCATTCCTCAGCTCCTCATGGAACCCATGTTTCTCCCACATGGCCGCCAGAGGAGCCTGGGCGTGAACCATGACGAGGCCCTGCCAGGTGATTTCCTTTTCGCGGTGGATGCCCTGCATCTGTGCCTTTTCGAGCGCGGTCGGCGACGGCGGTCTGTAGATTTTGTCGGGGTTGGAGGTGGCGAAGTCGAGGGCGGTGTTGATGAGGAGTTTGGCGAGGCCGAGGCCGCGGTAGGGCTTTAGGACCGCGAGTCGGCCGAGCTTGACGTATGGCTCTAGCGGATGATGGTCTTGGGCAATGGAGTCGGGGGCATCTGCGTCGGGGTGCTTGTCGTGGGGCTTGTCGTGGGGCTTGTCGTGGGGTTTGGGTGTGGTTTTGGTGGTCGTTGTGGTGAGGGCGGTGTATTTGTTTGGGCGGTGGGGCGGTGGGATCAAACGAATCGTAGCCACAGGGACTCTAGAAGCCGTAGCAGAAGCACGACGGGCATCATCCGCAGGCGTATTGGAATGCGAAGTCGTGCGCAGCCTCTTTGGCGGGGTGGAAGAGTGAGCAGCAACAGAGGCATAGGCGACCCAGTGCCAGCTGCGGGCGTCGTCTTGGTCGAATTCGGCTTCAAGGGGCACGCCTTGCTCGCCGTAGACGTGTTCGCGCACCGCCATGGCGTCGCGAAAGGCCTGGGGGACGTGCATGGTCTGCTGACTGCATGGCTTGGTGTTGTCGTAGCCGTCGAGGGCGCTGCCGAGGGGTGGTATGACGTTGAGGAATTCTGTGCCGCCCGTGTTGGCATTGTTGTTTGCGTGGTTGGTTGGGGCGCCGAAGCCGCCCTTGAGGACGCTGGTCATGGTGTGGGTGTGGGTGTGGGTCATGGTGTGGGTGTGGGTGTGGGTGTGGGTGTGGGTGTGGGTGTGGGTGTGGGTGTGGGTGTGGGTGTGGGTGTGGGTGTGGGTGTGGGTGTGGGTGGTGGTGGTTGTGTTGGTTGATGAGAGTCGGTGTGTGTATAGCCAGGATATGTATTTCACAAGCGCGAGCCAGGTCGAGCCCAACACGGTACCGGTAGGTGGTGGGCGTGATGCAAAGTGGGTATGACGAAACAAAAGCCATCGAGCATGTGAAGAAGTCACAACGCTGTTCCACCATGGCGTGCGTGCTCCATGACCCAAACTCTCGCCTCCCTCTTGTACACTCGTCCCCTCATCCACCCATCCAGCTCGTTCTCCATTCCATCTCGCACCGCGCGCTTCACAATCCCACAGGGCGCAAGGCGCAACCCTCATTCCCACATCTCGAGCCTTGCCCACTTTTCTTGCTTGCAGGCCATCTGCCTCGAACAGGCCAAGCCCAACAGCCTCAGTACTGTCCAACAAGCCACGCCACGTCTGTATTTTGGGCATCGAAATGCTCGACTGCATAGATGGCTACAGAATACGAGTTAGTACCCAACTTGCTCCATCATGCACACACCACTGTTGAATCGTAAGCCCAAAGCCAGAGCCCAAAGCCAAAGCCAAAGCCACCCGCCATACCCGCCATACCCGCCATACCCGCCACTCCCCGCAACAGGCACATGACGTCACCAGCCCAGACCACCTCACACATCCACCACCAACCCTTCTCTAGCGCCAGCCTAGAAATAACGGCGAGGCTGAGGCTGAGGATGGCGCGGTGTAGGAATTCCATGCATGATATCGCCCTCTCCGTCCTCCTCGTCCTTTTATCATCAGGTGAGATGGGAAGCTAGACAACTACCAAGCCAAACAATTGAATGGTAGTCGTAATACCGAGCAACCTGGTCCTGGGTGGGAGTGGGGGTGATTTGGGAAGGATGGCAGCAGCAGCAGTAGTAGGACTAGTAGGACTAGTAGCAGTCATAACAACAACAACGATATAAACCACAAACAACAACAACCACCACCCATCCCAAAGCCCAAGACGAAATAAAAAAAAAGCCAACGCCAACAGTAACGCCAACCCCAAGCACACCCACCCAACAAGCCATCCAAAGAAAACAAAACAAAAGAAGACTGTTAATGGGCAGAAGAAGAGGAAAGAAAACGACGACGACAACAACAAACCCCAACTCACAACCTTGCCCCCTCCGCCCTCGCCAACCCACCCCCGACCCGCCGACTAACCATATCACTAACCGCCAAATTCGTCACCATGGGATTCACCCCACTCGCACTAGGAAACACACTCGCATCGGCAACGTACAACCCCCTGGTCCCCCAAACCGCACCCTCTGGATCAACAACGCCATCACGGGGCAGCCTACTCATGCGACAAGTACCCATCTGGTGTGCGGAAACGAAGACGGCTTCGGGGGGGAACCCGCGCTTTCGAATCCCGTCGAGCCAGGTTTGGAAGCGGGCATCGTTGATGCCGGCGGGGGAGCAAGGGGTGGCTGGGTCGCGGATAAAAGGAGGTGTGCCGGGGAGGACGGTGAAGATTTCGGAAGCGCCTTCAATGTATTGGATGTTAGCGAGGGCGACGAGGCCTTCGAGGATACTGCGCTTGTCAAAGGCGGTGGGTGTGTATTGGAAGCGGACGCGGCCGTCGACGGGGTCGGGGTAGACGCGGCCTGGATCGCGGTCGCGGGCAATGGCAATGTATCCGGCCATGTGTCGTAAGCGTGCGGCGTCGAGTTTGTAGCCGAGCGCGGATTTCCAGTCGAGCCACATGAGCCAGGAGGAGGGAATCATGTTTGTGGCTTCGAGCTTGACGCCGTGGCCTTTGCCGTCCAGGTTTTCGTACTCGCCTACTACCGCCGTCAGGATGGCGCCTTCCCATGGCTTGATGACCTCGTTGTGAATCGCGCCGAGGACCATGACCGGGTGCACGTAGAGGTTCCGTCCAATGTGCGGGTTTGTGAGACCGGAGCGCAGGAGGAGGAGGGGGGATTGCATGGTTCCCGCGGAGACGATGATGCGTCTTGCCTTGATGAGGACGTTGCGGCGCACGAGGGGTGGTCCCGCGACGCCGCCGTTGCTGTCGCGCGAGACCCATGTGCCCTGGACGGCTGTGGCGGTCTTTGTGCCCTTGTGGTCGGAAAAGAGAATCTTCTCGGCGTGGAAGCCCTCGATGAACTGGGCGCCTGCGCGCGCAGCGTCCGGGAGAAAGGACACGGCGGGTCCTTGTTTCTCGCAGGAGCCACAGCCAAAGGTACAGTAGCCGCAGTCGTGTTGGTGACCGCCGGTGTTTTGGGGCACGGCTTTGTGGGACCAGCCCAGTTTGCGCGCGCCCTCGAGGAGCATCTCGTTGCCGCGGTTGTGCTTGATGTGATTGGTGGATACCCCCATCCGGGCACATACTCGATCCAGCGACTCCTGAAATTCCGCAGAGGTGAAGAAGGGCAGGCCCTTGGCGGCCCATTCTCGACGAACGAAGCCTTGGGTCTGCAGTGAGGCAGACCAGTTCACCGTCCCTCCCCCGCCCCACGCCTGACCGGCGACAACACTGAGCGAAGAGTCGTCACTCGAGATGAAGGCGCCACTCATGAACAAGTGGTTCCAGCCCTTGTCCTCGCTCATGGGGAAATGATCCGGCGTCCAATGATATGCCTTTTCCACCACAACCACCCTGTGCCCAGCTTCCGACAGATTCTTCGCACACACACCCCCTCCACACCCGCTACCCACAATCACCACATCCGTCTCGATGACCTCGGGCTTGTCCCCCGGCGGGAACTGGAGAAACTCATAGTCGAAGCCCTTTCCAGGGCGCATGCCAGTCGGGACGCGGGGCACGCCAATGAGGCGACGAATGGTAGGACTAATCTGGATCCAAGTTTGCTTTGCAAGCATGGTCAAAGAGCGGTGAATGGTGCGCATAGGAGGCAGGCGGGCTTTTGCCCAGCCTTGGATGATGCGTTCGCGCACGTGAATGGGCTGGGAGCTGATGGGCGTGACATGGCCAGTCAGGGCGAGAGAGCCGGGTGTTGTGTCGAGGACGGTGAGCAGCATGCATAGTTCCTTTCTTTGGCTCTGTGGCATGTATACTCCAAAGAGCCGTTGCAGCTGCTGTTTGAACAAGGGGTTCTTGCTGGCATGGTCCTCGAGATATTCTGTGACTGCCTCGTCGGCGTTGGGATCGGTGTCGGGTGCCAGGCTTCTGAGCTTGGTCACGGCGGTCGAGTATTCGCCATCTGGCACGGCGAGCTCGATGCGCGGATTGGCGGTGGAGACAGGCTTGATCGCCGGCACGACAGCATCTAACATGGCCAGTAGGGTTTTCCATTGTGCGGGAGTCAGCGGATCTTCTGAGGGCAGCGGGGGTAAGGGAGTGGCTTTGGGTGAGACCGGCTCAGAGGGAAGCGTGGTGGACGACAAGGTTGGCATGTTCGGTGGGAATGTGGCTCGGATGGGGTGGGGGTGACGATGCTCAGTGGTCTGCTGGCGATGTCAAGTAGGGCAGTGTAGGAAGACGACGGGGAAGAGTCAGATGCGACATGCGGCTCTTTGGAATCCCCCCACAAAAGACAAGGGCATTTCCCCGCATTTTGGAGATGGAAAGGAGCCTTCCCATGGGCTCCCATCTGAGCTCGAGGCTTGGACGCTCGATAGGCGAGGAGACGAGCCGCCGGACATGTGAGCCTCGGCTGAGAAACGAGTGGGGGGAAACAACAAACAGAACAAAACAGAACAGGAAAGGACACAGTGGCAGGTGGCGTCTATTGGCATGGTAGAGTAGTAGTATAGTAGAGTAGTAAGCTTTTCGAGTCCTGCGCCACACTTGCACGTGACATCCCCCCCCCTCCCCTCCCCTTTCGCCCTTACCCCCTTGGACCTTTTCCTCGTATTTGACAATCGAATGCACGTCTTGGCCCCCGCCCTACTAACCCAAGCTCAAGCTCGGCTCAGTGTTTCGCCGACACCGCCGCCGCCAAACGCACGCACAAACGAATGGCTTTTTTTGGGGCGGAAGATCTGTTGGGGAGGGCAGAAAGCACGTGCGTCATGTCATGGCGATGGATTATTTTTTTTTGACTTTAATTGGATTGTGTTGCCTTGTAGGGTCTGTGTACCAATCCACAGTCTACAGTCCACAAAGTCCACGATCTACAGTCTTGTCGTTTATCATGATGTTATAGTATCTACCCCCCTCCACAGTACCCACACATATGATGACAGGACATCCATTCCAACATGCAGATCCAGCCCGCAGCTTTTCCGGGGGGGGGGGGGGGGGGGTTGTTGTTATTGTATTGTCGATCGGTGATGCAAGCAATAGCACATGGTCCCCATCCATAAAACAATACAATAGGCAGTAGAGCAGCACTCTAGCAGTACTAGAGGAAACACAGATTGTCCAGCGCCGGCTTGAGCCTTGCTCGAATCGATCCCCATTCCCACCCCGAGTGTCGTGCGCGCTGTAGAGGACAAGGGAGACAATTGGGCGGAATTAGGGCGCCGAGTGTGGGTGGTCCATGGGTTGTACGGATGTTGGTATGGGTACATCCATGTCCAGCTTGCCGTGCGCACCCTGTCGGTTGTCCACGGTCCACCGTTCAAGCCTGGCTGGCGGCTGGCGGCTGGCTGCTGGCTGCTGGCTGCTGGCTGCTGGCTGCTGGCTGGATGGAGAGCGGGTACAGTACAGAACAGAACAGAACAGAACAAGTCAACTCTACACCCTCCACTCCACAACCCAGCGTCGTCTCATTCACATTCACAACAATGCAATGCCATACCCCCTCCCTGTCCTCGCAAACACAGTCCAGACATCACCCTACCAACACAACAACATGGCAAACTTCCACCCAGCCCTCCCAGCACGAAACCCCAACCCACAACTTCACATCACATACACAATAGCGTTCCATACACCACAGGAGCAGAGTAGTCCCCAACCCAAACCCCACCCAACCCCCCAATCAACCGCACCGCCCACGCCCACAGCACCCGCACGCTCAACCAACCAACCAACCAACCCAACCCAAAAAAAAAACGGAACCAGGCCAGGGGAACAGAGAGAAGCTGGGCGGACGGAAATATCCGATTTTCTTCTCTTCGGCTCGCTCTTGCTTTCAGCGCACCTCGGTGATGAGTATTTCGCGTGTGTGATTGGCTGCAGATAAGGAGGGCGCTAGGCTGGGAGAAAAGCGGGGCGCGAGACTGTGGCCGGCGGTGGTGGAGGGGGGGAAGTGGGTTGAGCAAGGAGGGCGGGTTTTCGGTTTTGGGTTTGTGCTTGTGTGTTTGGGGGATTGGGGGGGGAGAGAGGGAGAGAGGGAGAGAGGGTAGAGGGAGAGAGGCGGGCAGGAAGAGGGAATTGTTTTGTGATGGTGGTGGTGGTGGTGGTGGTGGTGGTGATTAGTATTCTACACGGTTAGCACAGAGGATCAGGATCGATGCATCCATCTCCGGCGCACTCTCGCCCCCAGCACGGTGGACATGACAATTCGTTACTTCTCCCATGAGTACTCTACTCTACTCTACTCTACGCTTCCATTGCATTGTCCAAGCAAATGGCCGAAGAGCGGACCCGGTGCCCCCAGCTGCATCGTCGCCAAGTGTAGCTACCA